ATAACTCTCCTTCTATTGAGGTAGAGCGACATGGTGGCTAAGCGAGTAAGAGGCTGGCTCGCTGGCCCGGAGGTCGCGGGTTCGATCCCGGTGTTGACAGAGAAAGTTCATAAGGATTTTCCGGCGTGGTTTCCCCTTTTCAGTCGTTTGGATGTGATGAAAAACCGAGGTCCGGTGTACACATTGGCATGCATGTAAAAGTTCCCTTGGCAGTTCGAATTCGAGTAAGAGGCTGGCTCGCTGGCCCGGAGGTCGCGGGTTCGATCCCGGTGTTGACAGAGAAAGTTCATAAGGATTTTCCGGTGTGGTTTCCCCTTTTCAGTCGTTTGGATGTGATGAAAAACCGAGGTCCGGTGTACACATTGGCATGCATGTAAAAGATCCCTTGGCAGTTCGAATTCGAGTAGGCCATAGCACCACTGTCCGGGCAAAATTTCCCTCATAACACACTGTATGGCACATGTCCGTCTTCATTAGCCCAGTTGGAGCAGAACAGTAGGACGTTAAATCCCATTTCATTTCATTTCTAATTAAGGTAGAATGTTCAAACTTGGTGTAGGTGTCTATTAGGTGAATGCCTTGACAGAGTTTGATCATGCACATTTTTCACTAAGGCTAAGAAGAGATGAGCAATTTGAGTGGTTGAAACCTTGGAACACGATGACTTTGGTTCTAATTGGGTGAGGAGCTATGAAACTCCGACTATAGATTCATTATATCGATATTCGATACCTTGACTAAGTTTGATGATACCGTAAGAATTTGATTGGTCAAGACTTGGAACATAACAACTCTGCTTTTAATTGAGGTAGAATGTTCAAACTTGATGTAGATGTTTATTAAGTGAATGTCTTGACTGATTTCAATGATTAACATTTCCCACTAAAGCTAAGCAGAGCTAAGCAATTTCTTTGGCCGATGTTTTCGGACAAGGTAACTTTTATTCTAACTAATGAAGAGTGATGAAACTTAGTGGTATAGTTTTGCTACCAGGTACTTCAAAACCTTGACTGAGATTGATAGTGAACATTTTATGCTTAGACTACAATGTACATTTAAGTATAGATAATAAGTTTGATTGCTCGATACTTTTGAAATAGATAAATGTGCAATTAATTCATATATATCATCTATTTATTTTGGGATTTCGGCGCGGGACAACAGCCTCACTGTTGGCTTGTTTTAATTGATATTATTAAATATTTTCTATTGACCACGAAAACTGAATCAAAAGCCAGTCTACTTTTTAATTGATCTTGAATGGATCTTGAATGATGAATACAAAAAATAACCTATAAAACCTTATGATATGAAATTTATGAATACATACATAATATTTTGGAGTCATGCCTGGAAATAATAATTTTACTGTACAATCGCACACTATTGAACTTGTTGCTAACATTTTAAAGGTTATTCTCAAATTGTATTAATATTTGTATTAAAATTGTATTAAAAATTGTATTAAAAATTTCCATAAAACAAAGAACAAAACAGTCTGTGCACTACTGTACAAAATGACAATCACAAACAGGATTTGTGTCCTGACATTGTCAGTAGTGACAGGTGAATATTTCCAGGGTTGGTAAAATTTCTTCTGTGTTTTTTTTTACGGTACATGTATCTAGCTAATAGAGACTAAGTGGTTGCTGTACGATAATTGACTTAATATGGTTATAATACTCTGTGTCACTGTGTAAACTGATATCAAAGGATACATGTTGGTTTTGTATAATTAATTTAGGTTAATTAGTCTAAATCGGGAAACAAGTATAAGTTAAAGGACCACGGTCATATACATGCAGTGTAGACCATGGAAAGACATGACAGCGTTTGATTTATACATATATAGTGAATTAAGAGAAAATAATTTTCCAACGGTTGTATTAAAATATTGGTAAGGACATTCTGTCGATGGTTGAATTCTAAACCAAAAATTTAAACTATTTTGTGAGCTGCTTTGCATATTCTATTCAAATGCTGATATCGCGACCACAAAATAATTTTAGGTAATATAAATGTGTATTTTTAATCGCAATGTTACTTGACACAATGATTGCATCCAAAAAGTGCTTATAAACAATCTGTCTGTGATCCTTTAAATTCCATTAATTAAGAACATTATTATTTTAACTTCAATAATGTTATTCAAGTTGGTATTAACAACAATAATTTTAGGTATTTTATATGTTATACTTCTCCTTACTTCTCTCTAATTGGGCAAGAAGAAATAGAAGACCAAAGTTTTGTGTTTGTATTGTTATAATCATATGTGCTTGATATTAACTAATAGTTTTTAGGTCGAATCACAAGATGTTCTTAATTACTAGTTTTTAAAATCACAAGCAAAATGTATCTCATTCTTTTTCAAACTTACAGATATTCAACATTTTTTTAAGATTAAATCTATAAATTCTTCTTCTTGTTGTTTAAATGTTGTTTCTTTAAAAAAGATTCAATTTTGTTTTTAAATTTTCAGGAATTTGAATTGCTGAACCTTATCAACATGTAGATCATCTGGAAAACACTTAACAATAACAAGATAAGAAATGGGTACACAATACCAGTTCCTGTATGTGATGTTTCTTATGATTCTGGTCTTAAACCACGAAAATCATTGTATTTTTGCTTTGACAGAACATCCCTGTAGTCATCATTCAACTGCCAACCATGAGGTAAATTTGAATTGTAATTTTTCAGTGGCATGTTTAGGTCTTCAGAGTACTGAATAGAAATATTTCTGCAAAAAAAAAAAATTGCTTTTGAAAAACAATTTAAAAAAGGGCCAAGAACATAATGCCATTCAAAATATGTATCTTTTAAACATACATGTACACTATGCAAGAGCTAAATCTGCCTATTGCAGGTCTTTCTTTAGGCCTGAAGTTTTATCTAAATTATTAATTAGACATTAATTAACTTATCCAGACCATAATTAACTTATCCAGACCATAATTAACTTATCCAGACCATAATCAACTCTCGATGTCCATGCAAGCCTGCATTATTTATTGGATTATGATCCGATTTGCTGCACAACTTTCATTCATGATTTACATGTAATCATGAAATTGATAATCAAGACTATGTTTTTCAGCAAATTGCCTTTACATTATCTAGAACTGCCAGCTCTATATCTAATCTCCCATAATGTATTTTTAAGTCATATATTGTGTATTAATATGCAGGACTCAATTCTATGGAATACAATTGCTGTTTATTATAGAGCGTATTGACAGTTATATTACTAAATTCCAAAGAAACATTAATGTGTGCGTTTATGACAATTCAACAGTTTCAGTTCCTGAAATCCTTTCACAATTTAGCTTGAGTTTCTTGCTTTAATTTCATGTGAAGTTTCTGAGTATCTTGAAATTATTTTATTAATCATTGTATCAGGTCTTCTATGATGTTGATATAGAACCAGCTCATATTGTTAAGAAAAGAAGTATAGATCAGCCATTACATATTCACTTACATTATGATGCTAGTATAGATTTATTACCTGCTGATCATATTACTATTATTAAGGTAAGTCAAGAACAGAACTATCACTATCTAATTGGTCACATCTACTCAAAAGTTTAAACCTAACTCAACTCACATTTGCCACTAATTAAATAACTCAAAAGAATTGTCCTCAGAATTGGATAATAAGTTTGTAACCTGAAGAAAATAGTTCTTGAATCTGAATGGCAATCACTGCAGATTTGAGCATGCCTTTAGAGGTGTGAAGTAAGGCTCTCATTTAAAGTCATATCTGCCCATTTGGAGTCACTGACAGTGAATTTAGCTTTAAAATACATTAAATTTTAGTTCTTATGTGTAGAAACACTTTAAAATATATCCCCCCCAAATTGGAATAATGCTAAAAATGATCATGTTGCTTGATTGCAAAATATGTTAAAATTTGACAGACTGTAATATGTTGCAAACAAAAATCATAAGTTATGGAATTGGAGCGTTTTAAATTTCAAGGACCACAGTTTTAAACAATCATTAAAAGAAGCAAGTAGAAATCATAAGTTCAAAAAGATAAAATTTAGATTTTTTCTTTTATAGGAAACTGTGGTACAAGCTGTTTCATTTTGGAGCAATACTTTAAAGGTTCGAGCTACTGGAGCTCCCATAAAGTTAAAGAGGTAAGCTGTGGTTATTATTTCTTCCTCTATCCAGGTACATGACATTGTTAGAATTGCTTCAACATTAAAGGATGTGATATTATTAGATGTTCGAGAGCTGATCATGTCAGTATCAATCTGTAGACTTGGAGCATTTTGGTGGTGACATACTAAATAAAATCTTACATTGTTCTATCGGACGTTGACAGAGGCTGTTCAATTTTTCGCTACAACCCATGGCATGTGATTTGATGATAAATGACTTTCGACAACCCAAAGAATATATACGCATTTATAAACTGGAACAACAAACCTGGCTTCATTTATTAACGATACGGGCAACAGGAGTAAGAAAAAGATAAAACAGACGTCATAATCCAATAATCCCAAACAAACCGAACAAGTATTATTCATAGTGTCCACCATTTTGAATATACATGTATAGAAACCGTCAAAAAAGTCAAAGATTCGTAATTGAAGACAAATAATTAAATATTTTGTCTCTTAATTAGTTTATTACTACTCTTACTGTAAATAGTAATCAACACTAATCCGAGAATGATTAATAGACAAAAGATATCTCTATTATTGGTACCCAATTGATTGATAACTGACTCAGCCAAGTGCAATAGACTGTAATGTGTATGCACGGCGTGGAAATCAAAGCTTTGTGTCAAGACAATTTATCGCCATACAGGAAAAAGTTATCGCCAAAAATTTCGCCAGATTGAATATTTTATTGCCAAAATTATATTTTAATCGCAATTGGCGGAAATGGCGATCGACAGTGTGAGCGCTGGGTCTAATTAATAAGTTCTATAAAATCTGAAGCTTAAATAAAGACTTGCAATAGACAGATTTAGCTCTTGCATAATGTATTTTTAATATTTGTTGATATATGCCTGAGAACATGGCTGCTCTTTGTGTAAAAGTAAGTACATGTAATACGGAGGTTGTGGTATGTCCCAGAGATCTTAGTCCCTTTCGATATTGACGCACTTCAGACCATAACTTTCTGGATTATGACTCCTGATTGTACAAAAAATTGCTTTTGTTTTTAGCTTGTTCTCTTTCCATCTCTTGCAAAATGTGGGCGTATCTTGCCTGGCAACTGCTGGTTAGACTTTTCGGCGCCTCAATTCTTATACGGAATTCAGGCGCAATGATAGACATTTGGACCACTGCTGCCAAACCGATTTGAAAATGAAAATTAATTTCCTTATTAAGGCTTTTTTTTCTTTGTTTGTGTTGTGTGCTCTGTTTTGGATGTGTATAATTTTTATATTTGTCTGTGATAATCATTTGTAACATAATAGGATTATCATAAAGGATATTTAACATCTACAATATGAGTACGCCAAGCACTCTCTGCATATTGCGTTTGTAAACCACGAAATTCTCCCTTATTTTAACTACAGTCTAAAAGATAACTGATAAATACTGACAATGTTTCTTTATATTTGGAGTTGTTCAGTTTCATGGAGTTTGTGATGAAAAAATGTACCGCTGTAAGGCCACATGGGCGATCAACTCTCCCATATGTTAAACAAAAAACATTCAAATGGTAACATCACACAAAAATCAATGATGATTTTAATGTAAGTCTTATCATATTTGTTAAAATCAGCCCCAAATATAGCTTGTTTATTGGATTTTTGTTCTGTGCATAAACCACTATCTTATATTTGTTGAAATGATATTATATTATAAATGAAAATACGATTTTTGCTTTTATGTCATATTTACAGAAAATGTTCATCACGTAATGTGCGATACAAGGATCAGATGAGTTATTGTGTAGATGGGTGTAGTCATCAAACAGTCTGTGGTGAAATACAAATACCAGATGAACATCTAGAGGTACATTCATCCATTCTCATTCTAATTTGTAACACATGCGATTTAATAAGTGCAGATAGGGGATCCATTGGCAGTTGGAATTTACAGTCGGGGGGGCGGGGGGGTCCATCAAATAGAACTGGTTAAACACATTCCAAATATAATTTTATCACAGAGATCATTGCTACGATAGATGCGTAATGAAGATTTCAAGTGACAAGAGCAAAAGGAAAACACGGGTGAATTTCTGCTCGCTAATAATTCCTTCGAAGAGCAAAAGTTATGTGAGACTGAATTGTCAGATATCCTCCCACAGTCTCATATAACAATTTTGGTCTTCAAAGGAATTATTAGTGAGCAGAAATTCGCCTGTGTGTCTGTTATCACTCACCACTTCAGTCAGTTATATAGAAGGATAACTTGTGTTTTCCATTTGCTTTCGTCACTTCCGTTTCTTGAAATCTTCATTATGATCTATCGTAGCAATGATCTCTGTGATAAAATTATATTTGGAATGTGTTTAACCAGTTCTATTAAGTGTGATAATGGCTGACACCAATATTGTCCTTTAATATAAATTTGATATTGTTTTATACAGGGTTGTTATTGGTGGAATGATAGAGATGGTAGATATAATAAGGATGCTGATGGTAATAATGGAGTAGCTAATACAGATTTTATTTTATATGTAGCAGCTATTAAATCTGATAGATGTAAAGAGAGCACTGTAGCCTATGCTGGTCATTGTCAACAAGAGAGAGCTTTAGACAGGTATTTATGATACGCCCACAAGTTCAATGAGAGAGCGTTTTAGAAAAGTTTTTATGTTACACCCACATTGTCAACAAGAGAGCGTTTTAGATAGGTATTTATGATACAGTGTATGCCGACCTTATCAACAAGACAGAGCTTTAAACAGGTATTATTATTATATGCCCATATTGTCATCAAGAGAGAGCTTTAGACAGGTATAAATTCATTAAAACTTGGAGGGATGCTTGAAGGACAATTCCAGTTCCCTTGAGGGGAGGATTCATTTGGTATATAAGAAGCTGAGAAATATTTAGTCAGAAACTGCTATAATTAGTTTACTAAAAATCAAAAATAAAATTTCATTGGAGAAAACAAATGCAGCCATGGCTGTTTTGGTTGTTTTCACCAAACAAGATTTCAGTTTTTGTAATGCATATATACTAAGCAGCAAAAGAAAAGCCAGCATGGTATGCTACTCTGAATAGAAACATTGCGTAAAACTTGCCAAATGTTTTTATTGTATATTTGTGACGACATTTCCAACTTTACCGGAGCAATAAGGCTCCTTCCCGAACACAGAATTGAACCCAGGAAATGTTCTCAAAAACGCAACCTAACTTCTGAGATGGTAATGTGTTCTCCATGATTTCCATGTGTCTCATGCTGAACTTGCTGTTCACTGGGACCAGCCCTATAAAATGCACCCCTATACCTGGTTGAATCATTCACACTACAACGTCAGCAGCATACCACGACTCACGACAGCTCAGAGGGACTGGGCGCTTGGAAGACTTGACGCTGGCCACACTGACCAAGCCGTTGCCAATCACTTCCAGGTCAATGTCCCATCTACAGGCTTCAGCAACGCTTTCGGGCCACCAACACCACGGATGATCGCCCCCGAACTGGTAGACCAAGGGTTACCACAAGGCGACAAGACCGCCATGTTGTGCGACAGCACGTGCAGAATCCCTTAACAGAGTGTCAGACAGTGGGAACACACGGAAGACCCATCAGTACCGATACAATGCGCCAACGTCTCACCAGAGAGAACATCTATTGCCGTAGACCTTACCAAGGACCGATCCTCACCCCTCGCCATCGACGTGAACATCTACAGTTTGCCCAACAACACCAGAACTGGCGACACAGGCAATGGAGAACTGTTCTGTTCACAGATGAGAGTCTGTATTGCGTACCAACTGCAGATGGCAGGACCAGAATATGGCGTTATTCTGACCAATGTGTCATGGAACGAGACTCATGGGGAGGTCCAAGCATAAAAGATTGGGGTGGAATCGGCCTGAACCAGAGAGTAGGTCCTGTTGTGTTCCAAAATCTTTGTCCAGGGAGAGAAGGCGGCGTCACAGCAGTGCGCTACATCAATCAAGCTCTTAGAACCCACGTCATAGCAAATTTTGCGCGTCATCGAAACGTTTTCCAGCATGAAAACACCCGTGCCCACACCGCCAGAGTTAAGCAGAACTTTCTACAGCAGAACAGTGTCAACGTTATGCACTGGCCAGCCCTTAGTCTGGACTTAAACCCGATTGAACACCTTTGGGATGAAATTCAGAGGAGACTTAATAACGTCGTACCGAGACCAAACACAGCCGATGGATTGTGTGTGTGGTTCCAGGTGCCAATGGCGTTCATCAATCATCTGGTCCACTCCATGTACAGACGCTGCGCTGCTGTTATTGACACTCGCGGTGGACACAACAGATAAGTACTGATGTATAGACTGTGTACAGACTCTAAACCTTCTTGTAATGTCTTGGAATTGTTATGAATTAATCACTAAAGTGTCAACATACTATTCACAAAAAATTGCTTTGATCCATTTAGTAAGTCGTTTTCTAGAATGATTTTGATTTTGAAATAACTTATACTGGCAGGTTTTTTTTGCTGTTTAGTAAATGTATAAAACTTCCATGGAAATGGCATTAAAGTTCCTGCTCCAGCAAATTTTCTGTGTTTCGATTTGAATAACCATACTCGAAGGCCATGTATATTCTGGTTCTCAGATAAACCTGCATCATTTTAATATGGCCACATTAATAACTGCATGGTATATGATGTTAGCCAGGTTACAGCAAATTTAAATGAATCCATAAATGTGGCATAGGCTTATTTATCAAGTACACAACCCTGATAATGTTATTGGCAGTCATAAATGATTCTGGATAATCATACATTCCTATGATGAGATAAATGTAGTGCTTTGAAATGTGATGTTATGGGAAGTCATTAAGCCTATTAGTATCCTTTGACAAAATTAAAACACAAAAATAAAAACCTCCCTTCGGTATCAGATATTTGGTAAGGTTTGTCTGTAATGCATATATACTAAGCAGCAAAAGAAAAGCCAGCATGGTATGCTACTCTGAATAGACACATTGCGTAAAACTTGCCAAATGTTTTTATTGTATATTTGTGACGACATTTCCAACTTTACCTGAGCAATAAGGCTCCTTCCCAAACACAGAATTGAACCCAGGAAATGTTCTCAAAAACGCAACCTAACTTCTGAGATGGTAATGTGTTCTCCATGATTTCCATGTGTCTCATGCTGAACTTGCTGTTCACTGGGACCAGCCCTATAAAATGCACCCCTATACCTGGTTGAATCATTCACACTACAACGTCAGCAGCATACCACGACTCACGACAGCTCAGAGGGACTGGGCGCTTGGAAGACTTGACGCTGGCTACACTGACCAAGCCGTTGCCAATCACTTCCAGGTCAATGTTCGGACCATCTACAGGCTTCAGCAACGCTTTCGGGCCACCAACACCACGGATGATCGCCCCCGAACTGGTAGACCAAGGGTTACCACAAGGCGACAAGCTGCCATGTTGTGCGACAGCACGTGCAGAATCCCTTAACAGCATGTCAGACATTAAGCCTATTAGTATCCTTTGACAAAATTAAAACACAAAAATAAAAACCTCCCTACAGTATCAGATATTTGGTAAGGTTTGTCTGTAGACCAGACTATTTATTTTGTATGGCCTAAATTGCTGTGTATATGTTTCATCTATGTTTTATTTTGTAGACCAGTAGCTGGATATTTTAGTATATGTCCACACTCCATATCTACACATCAACAAGATAGATTACAACTATTGTCTACCATGAAGCATGAAATATTACATGCTCTGGTGAGTTCTACCTTATTTCTTTCTCTATTCCCCATTTTCTTAACCCCTTAACTGTGTAATTAATTTGACGTTAACTACCCCCTATTGCATAATTAATTTGACGAAAAACGTCATTTTTGGGCCTATTTTTTCCTGAATACAAATTTTAGTGGTCTTAAACCATATTAAAACTAACAGTAAATAGAGTTGTCTCCCTTCAATTAGATTTCCTCGACCGGGCGCAATATAACGTCCTACACAATGCTGAGATCGTGTTCGAAGAATAGGTTGGGGAAAATACCTCCAGGGCGTTATATTATGTCCTACACACGGTGAGTGGCAGTTGTCCAGGACGTTATATAACGTCTTATGCAGTTAAGGGGTTAAAAAAAAAAAAGAAAAGAAATTTAGGGGGAGTTAAGTATCCCCAAAGCAGCAGTGTTTTGTTTCAGTAATTTATTTGGTTTGTCTGTTAAAAAAATTATACCTACATGCCTACATCTTAGCCAATCAACAACACAACTAATTTAACATAACCAAAAATATAGAAAGTATGCTGGTTATTTAGATACGTTAATGCAGCTATAGATTAGTAAACATGTTGGTCTTTTGCATTCTTCAAGAATAAATTGCGGCACCTATAAGAGAGAGCGTGGCTAAAAGAGTCAGACGCGCATTGGATTCTTTAGAGATCAGACACACATTGGGTTCTTTAGACGACCATTTCATGATGTAGCGGTTTCCTGAATCTAGCCACGCTGGTTAGACTTTTCAGGAGGTGGGGTTGGAGAGAAAGACATGTTAATTTTAAATATTGTAATGTAGACTGTGTAACTGTTGTGACATAAAATGTTTAGCAAAAACACTACCGTTGTTCCTGTTACTTATTTGATTTCGGTATTGTAAGAAAACACAATGGTGAAGTCCTTAAGAAGAGAGATACAACAGTAGCCAGTCCAGAGCCAACCAACCCCAAGACCATCAAGGGCTGTTCCAAAATATGTAGTAAGAAATGATGCATGGGTTATATGCCGGATGTGGCGACCGGTTTAGCGTCTGCCGCTCTCCATGTCTGACAAACGACCCATGATGCTACACCTTTGGTTTCGAACTAACAAGACTTATTATATGCACTGTAATATGTCAATAGAGGAGTGATCAAGCTATCAATATACTTGATGAGAATACTGAGACATTTAAATGTTTTATTTGTTTTGTTACAGGGATTTACAGCTAGTCTATTTGCATTTTATCGTGATGAACAGGGTAACCCTCTAACACCAAGAAAATCGTTATCAAACAAACCAGAATTTGATCAACAGTAAGTTATATTTCAAAACGACTTGGAACATGTCTTACTATTCACATTCAAAATTAAAGTAGATAAGTCTCTAACTCAATAACGCCCAAAGTCTTTGACATTGAAAACATGGATTATTTGTCAATTTAAATCAACATTTATGTTGTGATCTTACTGGGATGAGATAAGCTTCTGATATCCAATATTCAAAGGACAATATTGGTGTCAGTCATTATCACATATGTGATAGAACTCGTTAAACATGTTCCAAATATAATTTTAACACAGAGATCATTGCTACGATAGATGTGTATTGAAGGTTTCAACAATCGGAAGTGATGAATGCAAAAGGAGAACATGAGTTATCCCTCTATGTAACGGACTGAAGTGACGGGTGATAACAGATTCACGTGCGAATTTCTGCTCACTAATAATTTCTTCGAAGGCCAATATTGTTCTTTAAGACAAAATAAACATTTTGCACGATTTGTGTACCATAATGCGTTTCAGCACCATTTGTAACGAGGGACTTGAAGAACAAGGCTAGACATATTCCACAAGTCATGTCAAACGTGGACTCCATATTATTCTTATCTGGAGAACATTTGCAATAAATACTATCGGTGTAGACTGGAATAATCAGATGTGGAGATTACCATTCGATTGAGACTTTTGGTGTATTTCGCCGAACATAACATAATTTGAAATTGGAGTAAAAACGGAAATGAATGAATGTAAATCAGTTTATATACATTCATATTACATTGTTATATGCGTTGCGACCCATTTGTGTCAATTTCTAAGTTCCAAAAATTAGCGATTTAGCTCCTTTAAACAACACCTTTGACTTGATTAAACACTCATTATTTTTTTTTCATGAATTCAATTGTTGATATTTATTTTTTCTTTGTTCTTCAACATTTTAACACAAGATACAATTTTATGGATACACAATTACTGAGTTTAATACTAAGCGAGTTTCTACAGTGTGGGTTTAGTTGTAAATGGCCCCTAATTTAATTGCATTTGATTGTTATCAAATTGTATTTGTGTTGGCAAATTTGTTAAAAATGTAATTAAAACAAATTATGACTGATTTAAGAATACAAACTAGAATCTTTTGTATGGCACAATGTTTCAATGAGATGTGCTCTGACACATTTAAATTCAGCAGGATGGAGCCCACTGTATTGTGTATGTGGGTTGGTGCAGAGAAATAGGACGTTTTATTTCATGTCCTTAATTTGATTTTAATGGAAATATAAGTTCTTGAGAAGAGAAAGGTTCCTGATAGAAATATATGTTTGCTTTATGTTATTTTAATTACTGTAGGTTAAAGATGTATAAATGGAGTGATAAAGTTGTGAAAACTATTGAGAGATCTGATTGGAAGCTTCCTATGGGTATTATTACAAAACGGGTACATATGGTGGTTACTCCGAGAGTGAAGGTATTGAATACATATTATAGACAGCTGGACCCAGTTTCTTCATAGCATGTATTGAAAATGCCCCAGTGTGAATCAGGGAGTAAGGTGCTAGTTCACTAACCAAGAGGTCTATGTGTTGGCTGAGAAATTTCCTCAGGTTTTTCCGACATACTTCCCCCTAACCAGTGGTGCAGGGAGGAGGCCTGGAAAGGAATAGTGTCTCTAATCGTTCGGATGAAATGTAAAAAAACAGAGATCCTGTGTGCATGTATAAGAAGAACCCTTGACATTTGGAATTAAAATGCTATTCGGGCAAAATTTCCCTCATAACAAATTGCTTAATTTGCATAAACCCATCTTCATTAGCCAGTTGGAGCAGAAAAGTTGGACTTAAAAAACCCAATTTCATTCATTGATTCCAATGTGGGCAAATAAAAAATAATATTTTTATACACACACATTTTCATATGGACGTATATCAAAACCTGTCAACCCCTCAGAGCTGCAATGCAGTAGGGTAGTGTAAAAAATACAGTAGAAAGCATGATTTAGCAGTAGATTCCCAAAAGTGCCTAAATTCGCACTTCCAAGGGTAGGCTAATTAATTTAGGAGTGATACATTGAACTACAAGGAGGCCCAACAACACAAAAATTGAACAAAATTTTGAATTAGTTTAAATGGGTGACGGACATAAAATATGAAATTTATGTAATTAATCAAAATTTTAAAATAGAATATGTAACCTTTTGAAAGAAATAATATCAATAACCTACCAAGCATGATTTTTAAAATATCCTTGCATTCCTCAATCTCAAGTGTTTTGTCAATATTGTTTTATAAGATAATTGGTGTGCTTACCAGAAAAAAACATAACAAGTAATATCAGCATCGGTCAATTTAATCATGCCCCCCCCCCCCCCCCCCCATGGCATGCGTCCTAGGAATTTTTTCTCTGGGATTCCAAAAATCTGTTTTTATATGCCCACATCGAAATGTGGTCGTATTGTCGACTGTCCGTCCATCTGGCGTCCACAATTGCTTGTGGCTAAAGTGAATATCCGATTGACTTTAAATTTATACACAGTGTTTAACATCATGAGACGAAGAAGCCTATTGATTTTCTACGATTTCCGATAATTACTGCCAGAGTTATGGCCCTTGATCACTTCAAAAATTCTTGTGGACGCTCTAGAGGCTAAAGTTAATACCCAATTGACTTTAAATTTATACACAGTGTTTAAGGTCATAAGACGAAGAATCCTATTGATTTTCAGCGATTTCCGATAATTACTGTCAGAGTTATGGCCCTTGATCACTTCAAAAAATCTTGTGGCAGCTCTAGAGGCTAAAGATGATATCTGATTGACTTTAAATTTATACAGCAATTTCCGATAATTACTGCCAGAGTTATGGTCCTTGATCACTTTGAAAAATCTTGTGGACTCTCTAGAGTTAATATCCGATTGACTTCAAATTTATACAAAGTGTTTAAGGTCCTAAGATGAAGAAACCTATTGATTTTTAGCAATTTCCAATAATTACTGCCAGAGTTATGGCCCTTGATCACTTCAAAATATCTTGTGGACGCTTTAGAGGCTAAAGATAATATCTGATTGACTTTAAATTTATACACATTGTTTAAGGTCATGAGACAAGAATTTTATTGATTTTCAGCAATTTCCGATACAAATTTATTCAAAGTGTTTAAGGTCCTGAGATGAAGAAGCCTATTGATTTTCAGCAATTTCCAATAATTACTGCCAGAGTTATGGCCCTTGATCACTTTGAAAAATCTTGTAGACGTTCTAGTGGCTAAAGTTAATATCCATTGAGTTATGGCCCTTGATCACTTTGAAATGTTGTGTGATGCTCAGCTACAGGCTTACGTTATCATCCGATTGACTTCAGATTGATACACAGAGTTTAAGGTCTTGAGACGAACAAGTATATTGATTTTCAATGTATCAGCTAAATACATGATATTAAATTTTCGTATGCTAAACGTTAGCATGAGGCAGAACTTTATAAAAACAAAACAAATTCTAATGATTTTCTGATAAGTACTTAATGAGTTGTTACTCTTAATCATATTTTAGTGTATTATAAATGTTTCATTAATGAAAAAAGTAAAAATATACGTGACAACTCTTGTTGACCGCCAGGATAATTTAGCTGCTGTGGGTGTATGTTTCGTTGCCTGGCAACCTATCTTTACTTTTATTTGAGAGAGCAGTCCGTGTAATCAGCGAGACATATTTCCATCTTGAAAATATAGTTTCAGATTGTGTTGTATTCGAAATAGAGATTATTAAGGCTATATATGAATTTTGAGTAGGCCTGTTACACAGTGATTTCAATTTTACAAGTTAAAAGATTATTGAGCCTATATAAATTTTAATAGGCCTTTTTGGCCTAGTGATTTTAATTTTAAAAGATTATTAAGCCTTTATTAATTTTCAGTAGGCATATAGTGAGTTCAAGTTAAAAGATTATTGAGCCTACATATACTTACTTTGTTGAGTAGGCCTATATAGTGATTTCAATTCTTACAAGCCGAAAAATTATTTTGAGAACTGATTGTATCAAAAATATTGAAGTGACTTAATTTTTCTCTAAATCTGTGACCTTCTCTTGGTTGTTGTTTTCATTGAAAGTGAATTTTAATGTGTTTAGAGTTTTATTTTGGGTGCATGGAGGGACATAAAAATGTTATCTTTTTAATTCTTGGCCAGTTGAAATAAAGGGTGTTTCTTTTTGTTGTTTTTTAATTTTTATGATTTTTTTCTGGGGACCTAAAATGTGTTTGTGTCTCAAAGGGTTATTTATCTCATAACATTAAGGGCCTACTAAAAATGGAAGACATAGGTTTCAATTGATGATGATGTTTTGACTAAGACATTGACAAGTGTTTATAAAACAGATATTTAAGTTAGACAAAGCAAGCAGCACATACCTTGACATGGCTCTCAATGCTTCATATTTACTTAGACCATTTTTCAAGGTTATCTTTTTTCTTGCTTTTTTTTTCTTTTCTTTTTTTTTCCTTTTCTTTTCTTTTTTTTTTAAAAACATAAACATCCATCCTTTCATGACACAGTTGACTAGGCAATTGACATGTCAGCAGACGTCATCTCTCAGATTTGAAAGAGAGATAACTCTATTTGGTTTTGTTTAGTCTAGATTTTTTAGAAATGATTTTGTCACCACAGTGTGTATTTAAAAAGCTTTAGAAACTCTTATTTTATCCCCTGCTTTGGAATGTAATAACAAACATTTTATGGGTTTTGGGTATTATATTTATATTCATGGTAAGAATCATTTTAGGCCTAAAGATCAAATAAATGAACATGATTTTCATATGACCATTATAAATATTTAATCTGATAGATCAAATCTAGTAAATTGAATTAAAATTGTTTAAAATCAGATTTTAAGAATATTAGTTCAGAAAAATGGATATATTGTCACAAGTTCTAATAATCAAAATGGCTGGACCTCTTTGATTTGGATTAAAAGCTAAATTATGAATTTCTTTTTATTTTATGTTTTGTGCTGTGAGTTGACTACCATTATTAAAATTTTTGCATCTCTATAAAAAGCTTGTGTTGATATATTACTGATTATGTGTTCCACTATCAACACATAAAGCTAGAAATTAAACTACAATTGGAAAACTAGCTGACTTGTGCTTAATCTTTTGAAATAAAAATTTAATCATTTTAGAGCTTTATGTTAGCAATTCTATATATACTCTTCAAAAAAAGTAGGGGATATTCAGAAACGATACAAAGGTAACCAGTGTATGTTAATAACAGGCCAATTGCCTACACTTGAACATAAACTGGCAAAGAGATACACTGTCAAAAGTGAAAATGGACCGATAGGAAAGCAAACATGGATAGGATAAACCAGCAAGCGGCAGTTTTCATCAACCCTTCCTTTCATGTATCGGACTGTAACTCTATGTATTATGACCCATGTACTAAAAATTTCTTCTTGATTGGTTGATGCTTTGGGACTCGATAACATTAGTTCTAATTAAGTGAGAGTGAGGACACTTGGTGTATAGCTTTATTACATCAATACCTTGACTAAGTTCGATAATGAAAATATTCTGCTGAGGGTAAGCAGAGAGATAAGCAATTTGATTGTTTGAGACTTTGGAACACAATGACTCTCCTTCTAATTGAGGTAGAATGTTCAGACTTGGTGTAGGCGTTCATTAGGTGAATGCCTTGATGGAGTTCGATGATGAACATTGTCTGTTTATGGTAAGCAGAGATAAGCAATCTGATCGGTTGATGCTTTGTGTCACGATAATCTTGGTTATAATAAAGTGAGAGCAATGAAACTCAGAATATAGATTCATTATATCATTACCTTGACTACGTTCGATGGTGAGAATTTTCTGCTTAGGCTAAGGAGCGATAAGCACTTAGATTGGTTAAGACTTTGGAACATAACAACTCTGTTTTTAATTGAGGTTGAATGGTTAAATTTGATGTAGATGTTCATTAGGTGAATGTCTTGACTGAGTTGAATGATTAACATTTCCAGCCGAAGCTAATCAGAACTAATCAATTTCATTGGTCAATGCTTTAGGACAATGTGAATTAAATATGTATGTGAATTAAATATGGAAAATTTTCACAAAGTGTACCTAATTGTCGTTATTTTTGTGGTAATCACATACATCAGGATATGACATTCTCCATAACAAATTACCAAGAATTATTTTTGTGGAAGTATCGTTATATTAAGGGGAATGGAAGCTTTATATTTAACCCATTTCCTACCGGGACCTCATTTGACCCAATTCTGGCCGGTTCGTTTCAAAAAGGATTAAGAACCCTGCTTTAAACACTGTTACTTATATTATCACTTGTCACAATTGTACTTTTTTTGAATTTAAGAGTTTCTTGGATAACTATCTTGTATTGGGTCTTTCTGATTGAATGTGGTAATAATCATACGCTTGTTTTACAGGCGGAGGTAAGAAAACATTTTAATTGTCCGACTTTAGAAGGAGCCGAGTTAGAAGATCAAGGAATTGATGGGACAGCCATTACACATTGGGAAAAGCGAGTTTTTGAGGTTAGTTCCCTTAGATATATTTAAAGATGATGCATAGAGCTTATGACTACCGGGTATAAAGAAAAAATCAGATTTTTTCTTTGGGTGGCAATCTGCAATAGCATTCTTTTGATGGTATTTACCAGTGTATCATGAGAATTAAGAGTGATTTTATTTTATCTTGATTATAAATTGAATTATTTTGCATGTAGAATGAAGCTATGACTGGTACCTATACACAGAGTTCTGTTATATCTAGGATAACATTAGCTGTTATGGAAGATACTGGGTAAGACTTGAACATTATCGCTTTTACTAATGACATTGCATTGTTTTATGATTGTAATATTCCCTAAAAAAAAAAACCCAACAACTAGTGACAAGTTAGAATATGCCATGCTCTCAGGGAGAAATGATTCATTGAACTCACTTATTTCAACTTCAACCCAAGCATTCATCAGCCAATAATTTGGTTCCAACTACTGATTGATAGAATAGTGTGCTTGCCAAAGAAAGCCTACAATATAAATAACAAAAGTAAATGTTCAGCATTAATAATATTGTTCGCTCAGAGTTTTAAATTTAGACCTGATCAAATTCAACTTCTCAATATGTGGGTTAGTGTTGCCTCACAAATTGGTTTTAAAACCAATAACTGAAAAGAAGTGTTAGTGTGACAACTTTAACTCTTGTCTTGAGAAGATCGGAAACTATTTGGGATTTAGTATGATCATAAAAGATTAACATTGACTTGAAATTGTAGAGTGTTATTTTTCTGCTTGTATCTTTAAGTGCCGGTAATATATAAATATACTTACATGTTTAATTGTTTGTTTATCAGTTGGTTTAAAGCTAACTATTCTCAAGCTGGAAATTATGAATGGGGTAAAGATCTAGGATGTGATTTTGTTGAGAAAAGTTGTTTTCAATGGATTGAAGAAAAACAAAAACGGTAAGATTTTAAGATTATAAATGAATTCCAGGACTTTTGTTCAAAAGATAGTGAAAGAATTCCAGGTACAGTTCAGAAAAGGGCTGATCTTGTTGATACAGTTCAGGTGGTAGCAATAATGAAAAGTAAAGAAGCCTAGTCAAAAGTTTGCTCCGTGATTGTTTTCTATAGAGTTGTGACCTGTGTGTATACCAGGATATAAATCTCTGTTTGTTTGTTTATACAGCCTCATCAGGATTGTTGCTTATCAATTGTAATATTATTTTTGGAAATTGTTCTTTTTATTTCAAAGGAAAGAAGATATTTATCCATATTGTAAAGAAGTTAAAAAGGGTGAATTATGGACAGATTGTACAAATAATCGTCATTCTGTAGCATTATGTAATCTAGTTGAATATAAGAAACCATTACCTCTAAAATATCAGGTAAGTTTACAGGGACACAAGATGATGTGACAGATTACAAGGACATAAGCCGATAGCTGGAGATCAAGTACTTGTCAAGATATATCCCTCTGGAATATTATATGGAAATATGAATTACAAACAAATGTCTGCAAATGGCAAAATATGTTTATCTCTACAAGCTTACTTCATTATGCCTAGACAAAGTTTTCCTTTTATTCTCTTTCGAAGCTACAAAATTATTGCCTTGGATTGTGATATTTAAATGAACATTAAATTACCTATACAGGATGCTGTTTCTCAGTATTTTAACACAATAGTGGAAGAATTTATATTCTTTCTATTATTTATGAATTTACTCCCTTGTCTCAAAACGATCAACTTGTTTCTGTTTACTTGTAATTCTAGGAGTGTTAAATAATACTGAATAATATAAGATATTGTTTGAGTTTATCATATAGAGGCAAGGGTTTAACAGGCCATACCTGTTCTCCAATCCCATTCATTTTTGAATAAAAAAAAAATGTAGAGGCAAGTTTCCATTACATTGATTTAAAGTTGCAATTTCATATTTTTAAGTTATATTTTTAAAATTTATTAAAATAAAGCCTTAAAATAGATGGTATCTATAAACAGTCCTACTTTGTTAAAGAATAATCCTATAATTCACTATTGCCAGTTGAGAAATTGGCAAAAATATAATTTTCAACTTCAAATTCAAACGTTTGAAGATAGCTATTCCATGGGGGGGGGGGGGGGAATAGAAAAACAAGGGAGGTAATTGTGTTATTATTTCCGGGGTCAAAAGATTTTTAAGTGGAAGAATAATACCTATGATTGTATAATAGTGAGTTGACAACCTATTGAGCAAAAGACATTAGAAATAATTATGTTTTGACTTTCTTAGAAAATATGAAATTATCGCTTTAACATGTTTCTTAATGGAGTGACATGCTACAAGCAAGGCTACATTAAAGTCAAATGCATACTTTTGGCGTTCTGATTTTTATACGCCCACATTTTTATGTGGACATATATTGTTGTTACTCCTGGCCGTCAGTGTGTCCGTCCATCCATTCACATTTTGTTTGTGGACACTTTAAATATCGGTGTATCTACCAAAGATCTCGGTTTCTTTTGAAATTGTCATATATCAGACCGTAACTTCATGGATTATGGCCCCTGATTGTATGAAAAATCACATTTTTATCTTGTCGACACTCTAGAGGTCACACTATATGTTTATGTCCCAAAGATCCCTGTTCCTTTCTCAATTTCCACATATCGGACTGAGGGGGGTTGGATGGCTGAATGGTTAGCGTGTGCGTGCTGTATCATAAAGGTCATTGAGTCAACTGGCGTGGTTTAGATTCCCCGATTTAACGTGACAAGGAGTAGGGTCGCCTGTCCAACCTCGTGGGTTTTCTCCGGATCCTCCGGTTTCCTCCCACTGCTAAAGCCCCCTACGCGCAAGCAAATTATTGAAATAAAATTCAACCAGGTGTTGGTCCCGAAATGACCTAGTTTTTGTCGAGTGGACGTTAAACCCCATTTCTCTCTCTCACATATTAGACTGTAACTTCCTGGATTATGGCCCCTGATTTTTATTTTGTTTGTGGACAATCTACAGGTCCCAATTTTGAAGAAACATGAAATATAGGTTTATATCCCAAGATCTTGATTCCTGTTGATATTGGCATGTATAGGACGACGGTAACTTCATGGATTATGGTTCCAGATTGTACGTAGAGGTCACAGAATTTATCCAATTTTGATGAAACTTGAAATGTATGTTTATAACCCAAAGATTTTGCCCATATCGGACCGTAACTTCCTGGATTATGCCCCCCCCCACCCAATTGTTTCACCCTGATGAAGGTTGGGTTCAATCCACCGAAACTGTCCTAGAAAAAAATGGCTGCTCTTCACTTTTTTAGCTTGTTCTCTGTCTATCTCTTGCAATATGTGAGCGTATCTTGCATTGCAACCTCTTGTTGCTTTAGAAATATTAATGTCTGATCATGGATTGAACTTCCCTTCAATTAGAAATTATTTTTTAAATTCTCTATCTTCATTTCAGTACTTTTATCAAATCAAAGATGTAGCTAATAGTGATGTAGGAAGATATGGAGGATCTGTCTCATTGGCTGATTATTGTCCTTACTTACAGGTAATACATAAAATCAATATATGAGTTTGTTTTTATTTTGAGTGAAGCCTCTATCACTGCAGATTTTATTACAAATGTAATAGTAATAATAAAAAGTGTATATTTTACAGGAATTTTCATGGACAAATAAAGATAAGATATTAAGAGGATCTAGTTGTTTAGTTCCGAGTAATGGAATAGGTAAGAGAGTTTGTTATATAAAATATTTATAAACCGTATAATGCAACCACATTCTATACGGCCCACGTTCTGAAATATTTACAGAGGATGGACTGACATTCTTCAGAATATTTGCTGAGGATTTGGATAATGATCTTTAGAATATTTATCTAAAGTAAAACATGAGTATTGAGTTTTTCTTGACTTTCGACTGTTGAACTCTCCTTGTGTTTATACGTTGTTGCATCTTATATGGGGGTAAAAACAGTAATTCATGTCTATATTTAAACAAATTAGGGGATTCTTAAATCCAAGTCGAAAATATCACTTAAATTGACTAATTAATATGAGGCAGTGGTATGATGCAAAGATTGCTAACTCTTTGGAACACCTGATACCACTTCTCATTAGGTTATCAATTTTTCTTTTGTGAGAGAGAGAGAGAGAAATTGGGTTAAACGTCCACTCGACACAAACTAGGTCATTTCCGGACTAACATGTGGTTTAATTTTATTTCAATAATTCGCTTGCGCGTAGGGGTCTTTAGTAGTGGGAGGAAACTGGAGGACCTGGAGAAAACCCACGAGGTTGGACAGGCGACCCTACTCCATGTCATGTACAACCGGGGATTCGAAACCACGCCAGTTGACTCAATGACAGACTTAATGATACAGCGCGCACGTGCTAACCACTAAGCCATCCAACCGCCCTTTTTCTTTTGTAATTAAAGAATTTCAAAATATGGTATCATTGTTTGTAAACAGATCCTGATTCTAATTATTTTGGTGAAGAATATGGTAATCAATCACGATGTTTTAATCATGGTGGCCGATGGTATTTACATCATTGTGGTGGTGTTAATAGTCCACAACATAGTGGTAGTGGTTGTTATCAGGTAAATTTACATACAAGTAAAACTTATCTTTATAAATGAAACTTTCTTCTAGAGATCTTACCTTTACAAGGGAAACTTTCTACTAGAGATCTTATCTTTAAACATGAAACTTTTTACTAGAAATCTTATCTATATAAATATAACTTTACACTAGAGACCTTGTCTTTAAAATTGAAACTTTCTATAAGAAGTCTTGTTTTTGAAAAGTGAAACTTTATGGTACAGATCTATCTTTACATGTCAAACTTTTTACTACCTGTACTGTAGGCATTTAAACTTGATATAAATGAAACTTTTTAGTAGTGAAACTTTTATGAAATGCTTAGTAAGGATCTTATATTTAATAGCGAAAGTTTCTAGAAGAGATTATCTTTCTAGTATGGATAATTGGATATTTATCTTTATAGTAGGAACCTTTGTCTTTACCAGTGAAACATTCAATGTTGTGATATTATCTTTAGAAGTAAAACAATCTAGTTGGAATCAAATCTTTTCAAATCATGGAGAAAATTAGGAAAACAAAGACATTTTAGGCTGTTTTCACTCATCAAATCTTCAGATCAGATTAATGTAAATTAATGTAAATCTTGACTGTTTTTAAAAGCATGATTAACCAGATTTCAGCTTCCACACAAGTTATATACTCCCAATTTCTTGTGAACACTCTATAGGCTACATTTATCATCTGATTGTTTTGAAATTGATATATGTTGTTTAAATTAGTGAGGTGAAGAAGCCTATTTAATTTCGATAATTCCCGTTAATTTCTTTAGGAGTTAAGCCCTTGCTTCACTTTATTGGACCTTCTGAACGCTCTCGAGTTATGGCCCTTGTTAAACCCAAACTCTAATGACAAACGTTAACATCCAATCTGTTTGAAATTTATATGGATTATTCAGATTAATGAAAGAAGAATCATATTGAATTTCAGCAATTTCCGTTAATTACATCTAGAGTTATTGCCCTTGTTTCACTTTGTTAAACCCTCTGAACGCTCTAACGACAAATATTATCATCCAATCTGTATGAAATTTATATGCATTATTTAAATTATTGAAACGAAGATGCCTATTGAATCTCAGCAATTGCCGTTAATCAACTCTAGAGTTATAGCCCTTGTTTCACTTTTTTGAACCCTGTGAACACTCTGAACAACTGTATAAAATTTATATGTATTATTTAAATTAGTGAAAAAAAAAAAAGGCTGTCGAATTTCAACAATTTTTGTATATTACTTTCCGTGTTAAGGCCCTTGTTTCAGTTTGTAGCACCTTGTGAACCCTCAAAGGACGACAATTATAATCTAATCTGTATGAAATTGTCTTTTAAATGACAATTACCTAAAAAAGATGAAAAATATGACAACCCATGTTAAGCGCTCGGACGATTTAGCTGCTGTGGCCATGTGTTTCATTGCCTGGCTAGTTCAAACTATTCATCATTTGGTGATATGGTTCACAATCTTACTTTAAGTTGAAACTATTCATCATTTGGTGTTCTAGTTCACATTTCAGATATTTGAGTCTGGACTTTGTCAGACACAAATTATCACACAACATAATATGTTTAATATATAGCTGCATGATAATTTATGTCTGACAAATTTTCTGACAGGTGCCTTATATCCAGTCTTGCAGATATTGCACCATTTCTCATTACTGAATGGCATTTACAGCATTTGTATTCATTGTGTATATTTGTATATTTCAGTATTTTTGTTCTGAAAAAATAGGATTAAATATATTAGTAGATGGTATAGCATATAGATGTTATAAAGCTGGACAGAAGATAACAGCTAGTTTTGTAACTAAATCCTATTTACATCAAGGAACTGTTGTATGTCCTGCTTGTAGTGATATCTGTGATGTAAGTACAGATTACAGATCATAAAATGCGATATTTGGTTGTATTGTAAAGTTGGAGTCTGCTGCTTAAAAGTCTGTTCATCATTTGCTTTCTTTGGAAACTATCAAATTTTCGGGGACTTAATCCACACTAAAATATGATTGTTTATGGTACAATTTATTAAAATATCAATGTATCAATTAAATTCAATTGGTTTTAAAGAAGTTCATCAAAAGATTAAGCCAAAACTCATAGGTGGTGTTGCCATGTTTTGACAAAATCGTAAATATTGTCTTAATTGGATGACAATTCAACATATCTTTGTAAATAAACCGGTACCTACAAGAAAGCCAGGAGGTTAAACAGACAACTGTACTGCTTGTCAGGTATAAGTCTGGGATTAAAAGCATGACACATGAATGGCTGACAAACTTTTATGATTTACGATACCTGTGGTCATTAGAACGTTCATGTAGAACATTAGAGACATGCATGTAGAACACCATCTTTATTCATTTCCACCTCACTTGTTGGAATTCAATCCTTGAATCATGTCGTAATAAACATTATTATTTCTATTACAGGAGAGTAAGACGAAATGTCCCGCCGAATTTGATCCACCATTTGTAGATCATGCCATATTAACAGTACCATGTAGTAGTAATTTGTATAATTATAATATATATTATCTCCTTGTGTGTTTAATTATTGCCTTATCTACATCATTTTATAATAGATCATTCCATTAATTAATTTTATACATATTTCACTTATTAATTGGCCTGAAACAGGTAGTAGGGTCACAAAATTTGGGATGTTTCTTCCAGATAAGTACTTACGTAATACAAATCATCTGTGTATGTCTGTAATGCATTAAATTATTTCTCAGTATCACAGACATAAAGTTACATTATTATGCAATATATAATATCTTCCATATACTCATAGATTAGTTTTGAAACAGTATTTGTTACAGACTTACTGATCTTAGGAAGATCTGAAATTTTGCTGTTATAAAAACCCATCTGTTGAATGTCAAATACTTATAATATTTAACATAAGAATACTGTTTATTACAAGCGTTGATGGTACTACGAATTTTGTTTTTGTGTTCAGGGGAGTTAACACATGTGATAAATAAGATAATCAAATGAATGTGTTTGGCATTCTTGTCAGATAATTGAAATATGGCAGAAGAGTACAGATTATAAATATCAAATGTCACTTTAATGTTTTTGTGTAATATGTAGAGGAAAGTGGTCGATGATTATTAGTTGTAAAATATCAAAACTTAGCCAAGTTACAGTGGATTTCAGGCTACATTGCATGCACCGATCATTACCAGATTGAGTGTTCCGGAATTGAATTTCTCAATTCCAACAACCTAGTGAAGAGGTCGATTTCAGGCTACATTGCATGCACCGACTGCCTAAAAAAATGCCTCAACCAACCATATTCGTTGTGTTTAACTACGTCAAGATTTTACTCACACCACTTCCATTGTCGGGACTGACAATCACTCGATTGCAATTCTGTCAATTCATTACATTTTGGATTGCCAATCGGTCACCCCCACCATTTGTAAACTTGACGCAACCAAATTGGCAAAAGTAATCAAAACTTGTTTTATTGGTTTTATCCATTTTAGGAGGCTCTCATGTGCAGGGCATTGGGCCTGTAGAATTATGTTTTCTCCAGATTGTTGGCATAGAAAGGAGTAAGGCATTGAAAACTTGTGGCTTTGTGGCCCTTATAAATATCCAATACCTTATTTATAAATTATTAAATTTTAAATTATATGTAAATAGTTTAGATTTTAATTTAAATCAAAGAAATATATATACATGTAAATATCTAATTATAAACATCATAGACCTATTATCTACAAATAGTCATTTTCAGCAAATAATGGTTTTGATATCTCTCATGCACACCATGAGAAAGACTGCAATTGATCATATGTTTTAGGTATTGCAGACAGACAGAAGTTTATGTCTTGGATTTTGTCATCGAGCTTATTCTTCAAGTGTAGTTACAGTTGAGAAAGAGTAGAAATTATTACATTTGATATGTATTAGGATGTTGTTAGTCTTTAGTTGTTAGTCTTTTTATACTTGTTAGTTTTAAGTGTTTTGTAGTATTATTAACCCAAAGCTACTACTCCCTCTGGCGAGCACCATAACCCACCCTAGGTCATGTAAATAGATGTGAACTACTTTAAGGATCCTTTGCTAGTTCTGTGACTAGAGCAGTCTAGGGAGAAGGAGTTTTAGATGGTTTCAAAATTGAGCTATGAAATGGAAATGTTGGATTCAATTTCCTGATATTGCTATATATGTAGTAATTTCATTGATTTACTTTATCTGTTTTCTGATTCAGGATTCAGTATCCAGAAAAATTTTCTTTTAACATTTTCTACAGAAAATAGCTTTGAAGTAAAGTAAGTTGTAATAACACATATTGTAGCTGTGATAGTAGCCATGAAGATTATATGGCCAGTAGATCTGTCTGTAACTATTGTGAATAAAATTACATTTATTAATGATTGTTTTATTATGAGTCATTTTGATGTTGTTTTTTGTGTTTTTGGATACTTCCATAGTCCAACTTTAGTTGAATGACAAATAGATTCTACTAATTATAATGGTGTACATCATTTTAAGATATTATATTATTCAACTTTTAAATCAAAATGGGCACCATATGTTCAAATGAACAGTTATTTATGTACAGTGGAGTCAGACTACGATTTTTTCTCTAATAAAAAGAAAAAAATATTTCTTTTAGTGTGCTTAAAATATTAAAGTATTCGTTTGGTGATGTTTATTGAGGAGGAATTTCTAGCTGTATTTTATATTTTTCTAGATTCAGTCAATGTTAAGTTGAGATATTTAACAGCAGATTTCTCAACTACAGATTGTAAAAAGAACAACTTATTTTGTACATTTTGATTTTAAATTAAAAAATTTGTATGGTGCCTTGGATTATTGAGACATCCTATTCATTAAGTGGTAGCTGTTATTTGATAGGACACTCAGTCCCCTCACACTCATATCAAATGTAATTAATGATAAAGTTTAAAATCTGTTTCGCAATGCTGATATGAATGTTTGCATTTAGTATTAAAGGGCTACAACCTGTTTGACTTAGGTAAAAAAAAAATTATTGATTTAATTAAACTTGATGTTCTCATTAGTTTTGCCAAATGGATACTGTGTATATTAAACATTTTAGGACTACACATAAATCCACTATTAGTTTGTTCTACAGTTCAAGCCAAAAGGGAAACAGAAATTAGTAAACAAATGTCTTGTCCCATTACTAATCAAAATAACACATCAAACTGACCTAAAGTGAAGAGGTTTAGCTACTTTAATGTAATAGGGTATCACATTTTAGATAATCAAATATTGTCTTCATGTATCTGTGTTTTATTTTATATAGATATATTGTATTATCTACATGTACTTGATATATAAAATGACAGTATTTAGTAATCATGCCAAGATCTACAAAGTACACATGAGGCTCCTCTCAAAACGAACCTTGTGGGGAGGGTACTCTGTTGAGTATATACATGTATATATTTAAATGACAAAAGAATCTAACATATTAAATGTAGTATTATTTGTTTTATAAGTTACGAAATACCAACCATTTTTTTTTTATTAACTTCTAAGTGGATGTTGCAAATTGCAGTGTTGTCTGTCATTACTTATTGACTTTCTCAAGTTGATCACGGGGTAAATATAGTAATTGGGGCATTATGAGTTAGAGCTGTTCCACTAATTTTCTTACATGTACATTGAGAGGAATAATAAGCAAGCCCACAGAACCTGTCATAGACAATTATAAATTATCACACTGTGTGAATGTATATTTCGTTGCCTGGCAACCTGAGCCAGAGTCGGTCACATATTTTAAGCTGTTACTTGTTTTTGACATTTAATCCTTTTAGTAAACAGTACCTTTTTTTTAAACAAAAAGCTCAGCGTGTAAGTTTATATGTCGTGATACATGTTTGTCTGTTAATTATTTATAAAGTTGTCGTTATCAAAGTTGGTATCGAGTTTTTTTGAAGACAGGTTTTTGATTCATTTTGTGCTTTATATATTGCTTTGCCGTTAAGGCATTTATTTATAAATTAAAACCAATGAGTCTAATTTTAATGTTACAAAATATTTTAGGCGCTGGCTATTGGAAAGAGAGGTGAAATAACAAAAATAATGACTTTGGGTTTGTTGTGTATAACTGTAGGTATTTTGTAAAATGGTAATTTCTCAAATAAAAATTACTCAAGTTTTTTGAGTATCCTAGGTTTTTTTTATACGCCCACATATGTGGACGTATTGCCGTCACCACCGTACACCAATCTTTTGGTCGGTCCGTCTGCCCGTCGTCCATAATTTCTTGTGAAGACTCTACTAACACCAAAAGTTATCATCCGATTGATTTAAATTTGATATATGTTGTTTACATTAGTAAGATGAAGAATCCCATTTAATTTCAATACATCTGCCGATCTGTATGAAATTTATATGCGTCATTTAAATTAGTAAAAAGAAGAATCCTATTGAATTTCAACATTTTCCGTTAATTACATCAAGAGTTATGGTCTTTATTTCACTTTGTGGAGGGGGGTGGATGGCCGAATGGTTAGCACGTGCGCGCTGCGCTGTATCATAGGGTCTGTCATTGAGTCATCAGGCGGGGTTTCGATTTCCCGGTTGTACGTGACAAGGAGTAGGGTCGTCTGTCCAACCTCGTGGATTTTCTCCCACTGCTGAAAAAGACCCCTACGCGCAAGCGAATTATTGAAATAAAATTGAACCATGTTTTAGTCTCGAAATGACCTAGTTTGTGTCGAGTGGACGTTAAACCCCCCTCTCTCTCTCTCTCTCTCTCTCACTCACACACCCACACACCCCCAGACACACACCCACACACACACACACACTTTGTGGAACCTTGTGAACTCTCGGTATGAAATTTATATACGTCATTTAAATTAGTTCCTTTCGATATTCGTACATATCAGACCATAACTTCCTGGATTATGGCCCGATATTCGCGCATTTTAGACCATAACTTTCTGGATTATGGCCCCTGATTGTACGAAAAATCATCTTTTTAAACGCCCATGGAAATGTGGACGTATATTGCCGTCGCCGCGCGGCCCCGTCAGTCCGTCCGGACGTCCGTTCGTCGTCCGCAATTTTTTGTGAACGCTCTAATCCCGAAAGTTATGACTTTGATATATGTTGTTGACATTAGTGAAATGAAGAAACCTATTTGATTTCAATAATTTCCGTTTATTACGTCTAGAGTTATGGCCCTTGTTTTACTTTGTTGGACCCTGTGAACGCTCTAACGCCAAAAGTTATCATCCGATCTTTGTGACATTTATATGCATTATTTAAATTAGTGAAACGAAGAAGCCCATTGGTTTCAGGAATTTCCGTTTATTACGTCTAGAGTTATGGCCCTTGTTTCACTTTATTGAACCATGTTAATGCTCGATTGATTTAAGTTATCATCCGATATGTATGAAATTTATAATTATGCTGGTTATTATCTATTTTTGAACTAATTTTGATTAATTCTCACATGATGCATCTTTAACGACAATTTACTAGAAATCTATATACACTGTTTAGAATCTCGTAATTAAGAAACTTTTTTGATTATTAGTTCGTTGGTGGTTCAAGTTACCAAAAAATGAATTTCAAATCGGCAGTTATTATACTATCCGGACGACTGATGTGCTGAAGGCGTATGATTAGTCAATCTATCGTATTTGAATTTGCACCTTTTGATTCCTGGTTTTAGTTCTTTAAAGATGTGTATCAAACTTTGCTAGTCCAGTCCACACGTTTTAACGATACCAAATGATCTACAATTTTTAGACTACGCCAAACTTGCGTGGCTTATGCAAAATTACAAAACAGCCAAAATATGAACATTTCCTCACAATATTCTATGTATTTAAAGCGATGTATATTAGAAATGAATGAATGGATAAAATTGGGTTTAATGTCCTACTGTTCTGCACCGACTGGGCTTATTTAATAAAGACGGGCATACAGTTTGCTATAAAGGAAATTTTGAATGGACAGCGGCACTACGGCTTACATTTATATCGAAATCCAACTGTCAAGGGTTCTTGTATGTGCCTGCCAACGTGTACGCGAGACCTCGGCCCCTTGCTAGGCCCTCACAATGAACTTTCTTCGTCAACAGGGATCGAACACGGGACCTCCAGGTTAGCAAGCCAACGTCTTACTCACAGGTTCCCCCTTGTCAGTGATGCAGGACGGAGGGCCTGACAAGGACAGCTGTCTAGTCGTTCGGATGGGACGAAAACCGAGGTCCCGTGTATATATTGGAATGCACGTAAAAGATCCCCTGGCAGTTGGAATTCGATATAAGAGTAGGCGATAGTGCCGCTGCCCGGGCAAAATTTCCCTCATAGCACACTGTACGGCGTATGCCCTCTTCATTAGCCCAGTATAGGAGCAGAACAGTAGGACGTTAAACCCCATTTCATTTCAGTTCATTTCTTACTCACAGAGCCAAAGTCATATTGTATATCTGGTGAATAAAAAAAGAATCATCCAGGAAATGAAACTTTAGTAATATAATATTTCACACTAAAGTAAATTTTCAAAATATCAGGGTATTGTCTCAACAAGTGGAAAATATTATGGGCTTTGAAAATTTGCACAATTTATAGACTTTTTTATCCATCCGTGATACAGGGCGAATTAACCCAGTTTAATCTGTTGGTTTTATTTACTTACATATCTCCCCCTTTGCTTAAAATTTCCATACAGTATATGGTAACTATATCAACAAATCCAAGATCAAATTTACAAGGGTACGCATGCAAATCATATCTTATTTATCTGTAAAGAAGATTGTACTGTGTTTTATTCAAGGCCGTAATTTCCCACCGACCGAGTGTCGGTCGTGAATAATATATATACCGCCTCTACCACGGTATTCGCTTTCACCCAAAACATTCTGCTGTAGTTAACCGGTGCCTAAAAGATTGGTAAGTTACTACTTTTATTTTATTTGATAGACGGAGTATTGCCCGTAATACCATCGACCACAGTGCGATATTCTGGATTTTTATAAAAATATATTTCTGAAGCAATATGAACTCTTAATAACCAGTTCTAAATCAAACAAATAATGGACGATTGCCGACTAATCAAAAGCTACTATAAGGCAAGCAAAATACGCATACAAAAATAAATAAATAAAATAAAGAAAATAAATAAATAAAAGTTACGAGTAAAATATTTGAATGGCATTTAGCAACCAAATATACTACAACGCATGCTTGATAACTACTAAATGAACTATTGTCGAAACGTGCGTTAGTCTACTGATTTTTTATTCATAGATCTGTGTTATGTTATACGTTGTGAGCACTTTTCTTATCTCATAATTTTGATTAGCTAATAAGCGATTGCTCCAATAATTTAATTTGCAAGGGCAGATTGCCGTTAAAAGAAGCAGAACATTCTCGAACAATATCAAAATTTGCACGTTTTCTATACACAAATTGATTACTCACATACTGAACTTGGTACAACTATAGTGTAATATTCTGATTTAACTAGAATCACGACAGTCAGATTTCTAAACGCTTAATTCAAGATTGTAGGTTCTAATAATCACACAGAAGAGGGAATTTAGATGGATTAATACAATGGTGTCTGAAGCGTTAAAATGGTTGTTGGTGTTAGTTGCCATTATGGTGGGACATTGTGAGGATATGGATGATGCAAGTTGGAGCCTCATTACTAACAGGTACACATATCTATATCAATCAGCGTAATTACCTTTACACGTTATGTTTATTTGATAGTTGATGGCTACGGTACCAAATTGACTTATTTATTTTTTCTAGGGTATGCCAACAATGCCTCAGATGAATTTTGGTTCTAGTAAATTACTTTAAAAACAAACTATGCTGATCCCTTTAAAGCAATATGCAGTGATTACGACAAAATGCGTCAGGAATCCTTTTCTACTTATCTTAAGGATGGGATCCGGGGTGGCTACGTAAGTAAGCCGCTAGCTCCTAACCAGGTTGGCCTAGAAAAGGTTCCCCGGACTTTTCCAGCGTGTTTTACCTTTGTTAGTATGGCCTGGTAAGGGAACGGCGTCTAGTCGTTCGGATGGGACAAAAACGGGGTCCCATGTAACCTTGGCGTGCACGTAAAAGAACCCTTGACAGTAATTGGAATTCAATTGCTGTCCGGCAAAATTTCCCTCATAGCACAAGTTAAACCCCATTTCATTCATTGAATTAATTATTATTGTCTGGATACACAAGACCCCATTGCAAATCAGCTCTGTGTGTTTGCAGGAATGTAATGCAAGCTTAAATATCAGGGATGTTTTTCCTTTATATAGTAGAATCATTTATATAAATATGAAAATACAAGCCTAACAGTAACATACACAGTTTTATATAGATAAACATGGGTTTTGGTGAACGGAAACTCTTACAAGCAATTTATTAGTTGACCTTGGTCATATATGGTCTGATGTTAAGACGGAAAGAAATTATATTAGACAGTAGTGACTGAAATATGATGCAAATTAAACACTTGTTTGAATTATCTTCTGAAAGGGGTTTTGTGTTCATACTCTCAAATAAGATAATCGTTACACTAAAAGAAGCTCGGATAACAGCCATGACAGCATTGTCTAATTTAACTTGAAGATGGTCTCCAGCTAACTAAAACATTATACAAGTATCCCCCTACAAGATTATCCGTTCAACACGGTACACGTGCTGGGTAACGCCCTTAATCTGCGTTATCTGATCAGATATATATAATGTCGCGTATAAACATGTCAACATAAGCGTATATAGAATACAGAGGACATAACGTCTTGTTAAAGTTGCAATTGCAAATTTTCAAGTTATATTTTTAAAATGTATTAAAATAAAGCCTTAAAATAGATGGTATCCATAAACAGTCCTACCTTGTTAAAGAATAATCCTATTAATCCTATAATTCGCTATTGCCAGCTGAGAAATTGGCAAAAATATCATTTTTAACTTCAAATTCCAACGTTGGAAAATGGCTGCCCCATGTTGTCAATAGCAAAACAGGGGAGGTAATTGTGTTGTTATTTCCTGTGTCATAGATTTTTAAGGGCGGGAAATAATGCACATGATCGTATAATAGTGATTTGATAACCTATTGAGCAAAAGACATAGAAATAATTATGTTTTGACTTTCTTAGAAAATTTGAAATTCTCGCTTTCAAACGTTGGTTATTATCAGAGAGAGAGAAATGGGGTTTAACGTCCACTCGACACAAACTAGGTCATTTCTGGACTAGCACATGGTTCAATTTTATTTCAATAATTCGCTTGCGCGTAGGGGTTTTTAACAGTGGGAGGAAACCGGGGAACCCAGAGAAAACCAGCGAGGTTGGACAGGGTTATTATGAGACAAAATAAAGTTACTTTCTTTATGATCAGGTGTGCATACTAAGGATGAGAATTTTGCATATTCAGCGGCGTTTTCACCTACCATTCATCGAATTTTAACTGCCAAGGGTTCTTTTACCTACCCCCAATGTGAACTAATAGGTACACTTTTCTTGTCAGCCCGACAGACCGGGCTTGAAAATCGTATGGTTTTATTGTTTCAAAATCCCCATAAAGATTTCGCCGGTGCTTCTACATTTTGATAAATTACCACTCAATTAAAATCTAGAATATAATCTAGTTTCTATAGTCTAGACAGAAATGGGGATTAATGTCCCGTCAACAAACTTTAAGGCAAATATATTGTCATTTTTGTTTCTATTGTTACACTTCGAATGCAAGGTAGGAGAATTTTGCCCGGGCATCTGCGTTTCTGCCTATTCTTATTCGATTTCCGATCCTTAAGAGCCCCGTCTTCATTAGCCCAGTTTGGAGCAGGGCAGTAGGACGTTAAACTCCATTTCATTTCATTTCGATCCTTAAGAGTTCTTTGCCGTCACATTAATGTGTGCATGGGTGGACCTCAGGTTTTAGTTCCATTCGAGCAACAGGCAACTTTTCTTGCAAGCCCCGTCAGTCCTGACAATTGAAGAGCTGACATGATTATAGGGCGGGCATGGAAAATCCCCGCATAAACCAAGGTTTCTAGAGACAAAATACGGGCATAGGAGGACGAACCTGATCAGTATTCAACATTCTGCGACTTTTTGTACCAGAATTATGCCCCCTTTAACGACAACCTTGTGGCCGCGATAGATGATATACAGCTTGTTTTGTTTTGTGTACCTACAAAGTGATAATTGCTGCATGGTATACAATATTATAAACTACATTTTAATATTATTTTCAAGTTTACCTACCAATAGTACAGATGGCTTGGATCTCAAACGAATGGCATCAGTTGGTAATGGTCATATAGCCTCAGTGGTGTACAGTGATACTCTTTACATGAATGGCCTGTATAATGGAGTAAGAGGTGAATCACTCTTAGTTTAACATCTTACGTTTCATCATAGTCGTATCGATAAATATAACCAATAAATACCCAAATATCACAATATTTTGTCGTTATTTTTCTTAACAGTGCAATCAAATTATATAAACAAAATGAAATGAAATGGGGTTTAACGTCCTATTGTTCTGCTCCTATACTGGGCATATGAAGACGGGCATACGCCATACAGTGTGCTATGAGGGAAATTTTGCCCGGGCAGCGGCACTATCGCCTACTGTTATATCGAATTCCAACTGCCAAGGGATCTTTTACGTGTATTCCAATGTTTACACGGGATCTCGGTTTTTCGTCTCATCCGAAGGACTAGACAGCTGTCCTTGTCAGGCCCTCCGTCCTGCATCACTGACAAGGGGAAACCACGTCGGAAAAATCGGGATGAACTTTCTCGGCCAATGCAGGGATCGAACACCCGACCTCCAGGCTAGCGAGCCAGCGCCTTACCCACCTAGCTACCGTGGCTCCCAATTATATAAACGATTTCTTTTAATATATTATGCTTTGGTAGTGTTGAAATAAGATTTTGATAACGGTAAATAAGGTAAATTAATCTTATCCAAAATGTATAAACTATTGCTCTCATTAGGATGGAGTCATCGAGCAGAAATACGATCTCACCATGACGTTAGAATCTTGGTTAATGATACGATAAACAGCCAAACTTATAAACTAGATTTGTGGAAAGGTAAGAAATATTAACACAAAACTAGAATATCATAAGGTAAATATTAATATTCATGATCTTCAAACTTTGTAAATTGAATAACGATACGGGTATTCAGATTCCAGACCTTATACTCAAACCATTAATGGAATTTACCGGAATCTTTACGATGAACCCTAAAACTCCGTATTATCTAATAAATGTATATATGCAGCTAGTTATGTTGTGATTTTGGTGAACGTAGACAGGGCTTTGGGTTTTGGAATTGCAACCCGAAATAAAACTGTCGTTCATTTCATAATTGGAGATACGCTTCCTGTATCATTCATCAAACAATAATTGTTTTAATAATAATTGTTGCTTGTGCTTTGACGCCATGGTTCTTATAATTGTAGGTTGGTTCGATGAGACCATCAATACCATGACATCCACCATTAAACTAAGAACGTATGCACATCAACATTACACTCAGTTGATGGTAACAGAAATAGAAATTATAAGAACTCAAAATATTGGAAATGACAGTCTGGTACTTACATTACAACGCTCATCACTTACCAGCACAGATGATATTCTTTTAGATGCACTAGAACCTCATGCTGATGTTGAAAGGTCAGATTTCTCACTACATTGTGGGTTTTTCTTTGTGGTGGTCTTCACAACTACTAACTTCGACAATGAAATGAAGCTGCGTCTACATACGCATAGTTCGTTTGTCAATAGCTAAAACTTCGCATCAAAACAAGAAGCTAAGCCTCAGTGCCTGGTCTATCCTACCGTCACATCCACCCTCCACCCATCCCACATCCACAGATTATTGCCTATAACATAACATTTTAATATATATACTTTTTTTCAGATGCTCTGGAAATTGCATGAAAACAAGAGGAATAACAAAAGAAGCAGAATCGGACAGAGTTTCTGTTGCAGAAGTATTTCTTTTCTGGACAGATATACCATCTAGATTGATACTAGCCCCAGATGAAGCGTACAAAAACTGGACCTTTGTTACTTCAGTAGATTCTGACATGGATAGGGCACAAACGGTGTTCCAATCGGCAATGAATAAATTGAACTCAAAACAAGGTGTTCTTCAGCAGAATCATGTTGATTCATGGGCAGATAAATGGACGAAAGGGCGAATAGAGGTAGGAGGGGACACCGAGCTCAATACCCTGGTGCACAGCAGCATGTATTATACCCTCAGCTCTTTACCTTCAACAGATCCAAACCAACCGAACGAACCTTTCTATGGACTAAGTCCAGAAGGTCTGGCAAATGGTGACAACAGTACAGATTTCAGAGGTCATGTATTAATTGACATGGAAGCCTGGATGTTTCCGCCCCTGTTGATGTTCTTTCCCGAACTAGCCAAAAGTTTGCTTAATTATCGTGTACGAAACATGGAGGCGGCAGGTGAAACGGCCACAACTAGGGGTTATCAAGGATTAAGGTATGTTGCATTTTTATTAACAACAGTGAATCTTATTCTACACTATATGTTCCAAGTTACTCTTTTACAGTCAACGTCCTGTATGAGGTCACCGAATATTTATATTACGTAGAGTAATTCTAATAATACCGATTTCCCTTTTTGGCATACTCACCTTACCTGGAACCATGAGAATATCAATCAATAACTCATCACTTGCTGTACTCCTAACAGTAAGGAAAAATGTCCCATGGGGTGGATTTTCATTTTGATCTTTTCTGTTGGCATTGTAATCATATCTCTACTACCAAAGTGTCATAGTTCTAGATCATTATCAAAATCAGACTTTCTTGCCAGGTCATGAAATTGAAATTCTTGAAAACAAAAGTGGGGGAAATGGTGTTATATTTCTACGCAATATTTACTAATGACTGTTGATGACAGTTAATTATGAACAATTGATACGCCTTTTGTGGATGGATTTTGCCAAAACCAAAATTGTGTGTGGAAATGTGTGTTGGGATTTTCCTTTGGTATTATTTTTAAAAATACACTTGAACTTTCAGCCAATATGCTCTATGAATGGCGGATAGTTTATAGGCTAATCGAGGGACTACTTTTTCATTTGTTGCATAGGTATCCGTCTGAAAGTGGAGTAAGTGGTGATGAGCTGAGTTTTGGTGAGGTGAATCATGAATTTATCACGGCTGACATAGCTTTTGCTGCAAGACAATATATTTCTGCTACTCGTGATTTGAATTGGCTGAGAAGAGATTCTGGATACACTTTTATTAGAGATTTGGCTAACTTTTTGCAATCTATGGCATTATGGAATGATGTCAAGGCGGCGTATGAAATTAATGGTGAGCTTTAATCTGTTCGTTTATATTTGTGAATTAATAGTTAATTTTTCTTATTATAGATCTACATGGTACGAAACAAACATTTTAGACCCCACTCAACCGAAATTGATTACCGACAAATATTTCTTTTCGTAAAATGTTGTGTCTATTGTTTACTGGGCTGCATTATATATATGATTTATCCACATATTCAATTACTGTTGGTTTTTTTTTTTTACTGTATAATTAAATAAGTATTTCGAACTCGAATTTTAATTAGTTATTAATTAGGCGAAAAATATCAAGTTTCAAACTCGAATATTAATTAGTTATTGATATCATATCAAGTTGATGTTGCTATATACTTGCATTAAATGCGAAAATAAGCGTGTAGCTTACTTCTGATACACCGGATTTTATCTTAATTGTGTAAGACCCATATATATGGCAGATTTGACCAACATGGCATTTTCTCATGGGTATATATATATATATATATTTGTGTCTGCGTACCTTTTATCTTTTCATCGTTTACCGTGAAACAAAGAGTAGTGCAGCTTTGCGGTTGTGCTAATATTTCTGGATATATTCTACAATGAACAAATTTTTTCTCAATATGCCACCTGTTCTACCTCACACCCCTGCCCTGTGGACTACACCTACTTGAAGGGGGTCGAAATATTTTGAAAGATACATGTTATGTACTCACTATTGAATTAGCGGAAATGGGATAATACAAACCCCTGCATTTTCTTCTATATATATATTCGTTGAGGATCGAAGAATGATGCATGACGTGCAATATTCGTTTCGGGCGGGAACCTTCTTATTGCATTCCACTGGATAATGATTCGACGCTTACTCCACTGGGTGGAGGTCAAAGATTGAAATTTTAATGATAGCTGTCAGCCGAGTGGCGATACAGCTGGTTTGCGTATATTGTCACCACTACCCTGGCTGGAACAGTTGTTACTATTCGCGTTGCTGTTAAAATAATAGTGGGGTTTTGGTACAGTAAAATGGACTTTGTTTAAAGACGGGTTCACTATGCCTTATATTATTTCAAATAGTTTGGTAGAATATTAAATGGATTAAATTATGATATAAGAATTTTGCATTTTACGATCAGGGTGCAGACATAATTAACTAAAATAGAGAATCTTGGTAGGCTAATTAAATGGAGTTATCTCCCTTGGACATTTCGCGGAAGCTTGGATTTCCTGTGACCAATGACCATTTTCTGTATCCACCTAAATTCAACCATACCATTTCTTTTTAAATTAATAATTAATTTGATCGAATGTATTCTTTATTACTTGTATCTTCCTACAGGGGTAACTGGGCCGGATGAAAATGCTGTAAACATTTCTAATTCCGTCTACACAAACGTGGCTGTCAAAATGGCTATAGAATTCTCGAGATATGTTGCGTGTTTAACGGATTTAGAAAATATAAATGAAATAAAAGAAGAGTGGCTTGAAAAAGCCACGAAGATGTTTATTCCATATGATGACAGTCGAATGTACCACCCTGAATACGAGGGATACGGTAAGGTCTTATTTGTTTCTATTTTTCATGTCTTTACAGTGTGCATGAGGTTATATTTCTTCTTGTAACAGTCATAAATATAACCACCATGGACTGGGAATGAAAGGAAATGAGGGTAACTCCTACTTTCCTGCACATACGGGGCTAACGAAGACGGACAAACGCCATTCCGTGTGCTATGAGGGGACATTTTGCCCGGACAGCGTCGGTTCCGCTTACTAATGTTCCACACTGATTAGCAGTGAATATTCGCTAGGCCGCCACAATCACTGAGAGGGATGATATATGTGCGGGTTAATTAGCTCACAATATTAACTTTGTTTCCTTCTGCAAATCAAATTCTAGAACATGTTTTTGAAGTATTAGAAAAATATATAAAGGTGTTTGAAGCATATCTGGATAAAAAATATTTACTATTCAGTGTAAATGGGTAATATAATGAGTTAAAGGCACCATTCTGCCCGGGCTAGTTTACGTTATTTGCTAGAGTATTCATGCTAGATGGAGGTTTATGGAACTTAAATCACGGAGCAAAAGTGATAATAATTAAATGTACTCATCCGAATTTTTTATTTGTTTAAAGTTTCAGCTGTGGTGAAAGAGGTTGATGCCATATTATTAGGATTTCCGTTGATGTTTGAAATGAATGAAACGGTTCGCCGATCAGATTTAGCTATTTACGAAAACTTGACAGATCCAAAGAGCTCTGCTATGACGTGGGCAATGTTTGCTATTAATTTGTTGGAAATAGGTGACACGGAGAAGGCGTTTAAGTATTTTCAGAAGTCTCATTCTAGTTATCCTAGAAAGCCATTTAATGTAAGATCCTTTAGATATACCACTTTTATGTGCATTTTTATTGATCTATCTATATGAAATATTTCGTTCCTTCCGGAGGACTGGTTTGAAATATATGATCAGAATCGTACGGGCTAGGCTTTTGAATTATGCAGAACGCGTTTTAGATTTTCGAAATTTCTAATTTTTAGATAATTTCGGCACCCTCCGGCCTTGTTAACGTATAACGCAGATATGACGGGCGTTGTCTAACTCACTCAATATTTAATCCACCCAATAATGGTATAGACAGTTGGGTGAGGGCTTGTCATGTGAATAGATATCTACATAATAATTCTATATAATGTTTAAGGCCAGAAACACACCATTTTAGGTGTGTTTACAAATATATGTAAATTTTAATGGATAACTATTTTGATAACATTTTGTTTTTGTTTACGGTATGATAAAAGGTTTGGAATAAAGAGGTCTCTGGTGAAGGGGATATCAACTTCAGTGGCATGGGTACATTTTTACAAACTCTTATCTATGGATATGCCGGTGCTCGCCTACATGTTGAAAAACTAACCTTTGAACCAAAACTGCCCAAAAATGTAACCTCTTTGCATTTCCTTGGATTGGATTATTTGGAAACAACCTTTGACCTTTACATAAAGTCGGATCGAGTGATAATCGTTGTTCAAGAGACGTCTGATTATTCAATTTATCTACGTCTTGTGTCAACAAATACTGATTTCTATCTGATGAAAGGTAATAAAATCAGGCAATATTCAGTTTAATGACATTATAGATTTTATGTTAAATAAGTAATATTGAATATCGAATCATACGTAATGTTCTGCAAAAATTTTAAACAGCTTAGTTAACGTTTTGAAAATAGCATAATATACTGTAATAAAACATAGCATTTCTAAATCATTTTAGACATTTTTTTTGATTAGAAAAAAATTCAGCCAGTCTTTAAATACGTAATCAACGTATTCTAATTAAAGGTAATTCTCATGAAAGGGTGAAAAAACAACAATAGTATTGAATAAAAAAATTTGTTTATATTTTCAGGAAAGGAGATTATGATTCCCAGAACCGCCTTTACCCTGTATACTACCAATATTACAGATTGCTCATTACCAGAAGGTAATATTATTCCTAAATTCAGACGTTTTTCAAAATTGAATCGGTCTTACAATAACGCATATTCCTGAAGCAATGGCCCGAGATATCCCTCTCTGGCCATTGCTGGGTTGGATTCTGATACTTGAGCTTTTGAGGGAGTGTGCCTATTCTTCCCGTTTAATCAAATCTATCCCAAGTACATCAGCATGACAGCCCTTTGTTTAATCTGGGGTCTTCCCTAAAACTTTGGACAGTGATTTAAGGTATTAAAAACGGCGAATGTATTGTTCGTCTCCAAACAGTATTGTTTACATTGTATTCGTGTTGATAGCCTCGTTTGTCACACAATTCGTTTTTCTGCAATATTATGCTATGCACTGGTTAATTGGGCATAATAAATCGTGAGTCATGACGTAACGTTATGTAAATATATTGGGTCCAGTTTGCAGCTCTGTTTAAAGCGTAATGATATTGTTACGCAGTTAGCTATTGGTTGTTAATCGGAACAGAAATTTGCTTCCATTACAGCAGTGTTAAGTGGGATTAGCTCTAATCAAATGAAACACTGCAAGGAGTATGACAATCACGATGCATAAGCCAACAATTCTAATTATAATATTCAGATTTCATCCTTCTTCTATCCAGGTTCATCGTGCCCTACGTCTGTTTCTGATAATGGTCAAATGTCGAGTCTGGAAGGTAACGAAGAGGTCAATAATCCTATACAATACGTGGTGGTCAAACAAACTGGTGGTGATCAATGTACCGACCACTGGACTTGCACCTCTAGAGAAAAGGCCATACAGGTAAAACAATGTGTGATCTAAACCGAGTAATGAATGGAATTAACCAAATAATATAATCATCCTCTATGGTCTGACACTTTTTTATCGGATCTGTTTCAGAAAGAAGATGGATCATATAACTTTTTGATAGCACAAGATGGTAGAATATATATTGGATCTGGTTGGCAATTACAGACAAACACACGATTAAACACCACGGCATTAAGTACGATATATTTATCTATTAATATGCTCATTGTTTAAAGACGGCCAAAATTTTACTTTTTTCGTGTGATAACTGGAACTTCTCCTTTAACAACATGTCTTAATTTGTTTTATGTTTTAGCAATTGGTATGATTGGTGATTTTATTTGTAATACCCCTAATGAGAAGTCTTTGGGGGCTTTGCAGCATTTGTTAAAGTGTGGCATTTCAAGGTAATGTTTGAAAACTGTATCATTATATTCAACATCATCTATTCTCCCTATCTATCTTATATATTTTGGAAATAGTGTTAATTTATTATAAGTTTGACCTAATACATGTCAGAGTCCACTACATGTCACAGAAACCATTATATATGGTAAAAACACAATGTGATTAAAACACAGGTATACCATCAAAAGTATAGAAAAGGGAAAATAAATTTAAACCTGTATTTTAATCAGATTAATAAAAGCACAGCGTGCATGCGCGATGTATGGCTTTAGGCAATTAAAATAATTATACTTCATCTTCCAGAAAACTGCTCAGTGAACGTTATGTTGTATTAAGTAATCATCAACTGTTGAAGAATACAGAGATATTGACTAATCATAATCAGCTATATTGTGGTATTAAAACGTCAAGACATTGGGTATGTTTTTCAACAGACCTGTTCCTCGTGTTCCTCAAGTTTTATTAGTCATACGTGAAAGATTTTATAATGTAGACGAATGTAAAGATTTTATAATGTAGACGAATGTAAAGATTTTATAATATAGACGAATGTACAGATTTTTTAAAATATAGACGACTGTAAAGATTAATAGGCTGAATACATTACAGATGACTGTACAAAGGCAATGGTCAGCACATGTGGACGTTATAGACGACTGTAAGAAGCAATAGTCAGCATATAAAGCTATAGTTCAAATTAACTCAGACCGTCCTCTATAAAATAACCATTTCACCAAATTACTACTGCTTGCTTTCCATTGAATCCGTCTGAGTAATGGAATTGTTAAAGATGCAAATTACAATGTACTAAATAATTATTCTTTATCTAATGATCATAACATGAAAAAATATATGAACCAACAAATGATGACTTCTACAATAATTTAAAAATTGTTACAGATGGAGTACCAATATGAAGGTGACTTCAACCCACCCGTATGTGATGGAGAATGTTTTCAACCTCAGATTAAACCTGATAGCCTGTATCATGATATCAGTGATCAGCCCACAATATTTGAAGCCACAGAGTACGTTACAACCCTTATCAATCGATCCCCATTAATCCTCGCATTTGAGTTACTCGAAAAAGGGTGCGAATTAACCAACACGACTATTGTCCATGAAAATGCCAAATCAAACAAGACTTATCTTTTCTTGATTTTACTTGACCAGGTCCTACAAAGTAAATACGTCCCTTGCTAGCACCTAATCAATCAATTATAATTTTTAAAAATTTCCTGGCTTTAAAACAATTAATTTCGTTATAATAGGCACACAGCTTGTGTTATTAGACTAAGGTATACACAATAAATGTGTATATCCTGTATTCTTATTCGAAGCTGACAACACGTTAAATCTCATTCCATACTTTCTATTCGGGGCATTAGGAATAACTGTACTCAATACATTTTTTGGTAGAAATTCACATTTTCCTTTTCTTACAGATTACCAATGAAAGACGGTAAAATAGATTTTCGGTATATGGCATCAGTTGGAAATGGTCATCTAGCGACAGTTATATATAGTCCTACTATTTATATCAATGGTTTGTTCAATGGACCAACAGGTAAAAGCATCTCCTATTTAATAAAAAAAAACCTTAACTTTTAAAACTTATTTAACTAAGTGGAATTATTAACAGTTATTAGTTTTACTGTCTTAATTAAGTTACTTATTTTACTAGGATGGAGTCATCGAGCTAGAATACCATCAACTCATGCCATACATATAACAGTTCCTGATAGTAATACATATAATATCAGTCGTAATTATAAACTTGACGTTCAACAAGGTCAGTACGCCAAGTTATCCTCCCCTTCCCTAATAAAAATCTTTTATCTTCAAAACTTTATAAATAATTTATACCGAATATCATAAACATATCAAAATGCAACTCTAGCGACGACATTATTATGGCCAATTCACTTGAATCAATACATTTAAAATTACAAATCTTCACGAAAAAGCAATGGCTATACTTGCCATATCTATCACTAGTTTTAAAGGTTACAAAACTACCAGAATGTTCTCTTTTCGGTTACATCATATATTTTCAAACCCGATTACATTGTGTCGTTGGGTCTTATACCCAGTTGCAAATGAAACGAGGTCCATCCATGCACACATTGACTAACACGTAAAATAAACGTATGTCAAACCTCAATCCATGTATTTCAGCTATATTTGAAGAGACCATCGACACTCCGTCGGCTGTTATAAAACAGAGAACGTATGCACATCAGTATTATAATCGTTTGTTAGTAACTGAAATAGAGCTGGTCAGAAAGGAAGAAACGGTAGGAGATATTGTTATATTTGTATCAAATAATCCGGGTAGTAATAGTGATGACATTACCTTCAATGAACCAGAGAACATCACCAATCATAAGGATTTCAGGTAATGGGTGATTTGTAGTAATGTTCGTATCTATACACACTCTTAAGCAGCAGAACTTACCGTAATGTTCTTACTTCCTATGTTAAATCAATAGAGCGAGCACAATCCGTTGGCAACCAGCCACTCTCCCCAATCAGAACCCCATAACGTCGTCAAAGAGTCAATATATTATGTCGACGTAGGTCTGTATAGTGAAATATAGTGGCTGACTGATCCTATAATTGATCCTTAGATCCATTGGCTATGTAATTTTTACAAAAATAAAATAGATCTCCTATATGTTTTTACCTGTCAATGTATTTTCCATTAGTGAAAAGTTTGTTTATTTTCTTTACTTCTTGTCGATTTAAAAAAAGAACACTATATTGGTTAAGTGTAAAGGTGTTCTCTTATCTATTCAGTAAATATTCAGTTGAGTGTTGGTATCAAGATGGTGTTACCCTGCAAACTGAAATAAACTCCACAGATCCTCAGAATGTTTACATGTACTGGACAAAACTACCGGCATCGGTAGAGCTCGGTGACAACGTTAAACAGCAAACCTGGGTTTATGTAACTTCCATAGACACTCAAAAAGATGCAGCCGAAGAATCTTTCACCAAGGCATTATCGCTTTTGAACAAGGATACCCAGGCTCTTTATACGAGCCATATTGCCGCCTGGGAGACACGTTGGGCTGAAGGACGAATAGTGCTGGAAGGTGATAACTACATTTCAAAGCGAATCTATGGAAGTTTTTATTATTTGCTGAGCTTCCTCCCAGCTACAGACCCTTTCATCAAAAACAACCAGTTCTATGGTCTTAGCCCTGGGGGGTTAGCTAATGGCGCTAACTGGACGGATTATCAAGGTCATGTATTCTGGGATATGGAAACTTGGATGTATCCAACGATGCTCATGTTTCATCCGGACTTAGCTAAGGAGATGTTATCCTACCGCATCTATGCCATGGAGCCAGCTTATGAAAGAGCTAAGATAACTGATCCAGTTAGCAAAGGCTTGCGATATCCTTGGGAAAGTGCTCTGACTGGAATTGAACAGACTCCAGATATCTGTGTCCCTTGCCGAGAAAATCAACAACATATCACTGGGGACATTGCTCTAGCTGCACGACAATACCTCTCCGTTACCAAGGATTTGACTTGGCTGAAAAGGGAACAAGGATTTACTTTTATTCGAGATATGGCAGAGTTCTGGGCCTCTCGTCCTGTTTATAATCCACCACGTGACTCGTATGACGTTAATGGTAGGTTCGGTCATCTTAAGCTCTCAACTTAAGTCACATGTAACTAAAATAAACTATTTTTTTTGTACCCAAATTTGATTGTAAATGTTATCATAAGGATAATGTAGCAGATAAAGATAGTAATATTTTGAGGTGACAGTGAGTTAGTTAACTAAGACATAAACAACGCTACTTTCTTGAAGCATGGTTCAGAACACTACTGCATTTATAAAAGGATACATACCATAACAAAAACTAGTAATTGACTTTGTTATACAGATTACCCCCCCCACCCCCATTACTAACTTAATATTATTTTTATATTTAATTATTTTAGGTGTTATGCCACCAGATGAACATGCCCAAAGCATCAACAATTCGGTATATACAAATGTGGGAGCTAAATTGAGTATCTATTTTGCTGAGTATGCGGCATGTTTGATGGGAAACCATAGCTACGATGTACCAGAGTATTGGCTAAATGTAGCCGATAAACTCTACCTCCCTTTTAACGCAGAGAAAAAATATCATCCAGAATTTGAAGGTTATGAAGATTGGACAGGTATATTTTGAATTGGGAAAAAATGGATATGTTTAAGAATTGAGGGATAATCGGATTTATCACATGATTTTACCCACCGTTGCACGTTTGAGAAAATCTATTTATTGTCATTCTCATCATTAAATACCAGGTAAATAGTACCCCAAATGTCCTGTAGAAACTGTTTATTAACGAGTTATTTTAAAATAGTTATATAAGTTCAAAAGTTTAGTTTCATATAGCGAAGAAAGAAACACACTTTCGTAACATGTCTAGATACTGGGAAATATTCTAATCTATAATTCCTTCAAGAGATTTTTGACCCCCGTCCTATACACCTTACAAAACAGAACAAAAGTCATCGCCATTGTTAAATTCAACTGATATGGCTTCTTCTTTCTGGTGTACATACACCCAGCCCTTAAAAGATGTCTTCGGAACATCCTATGTTATGATGAATAAGTATAAAAATACTGATTGATAGATGTAGGGACCAAAATAACAAAAATAAATTAACCTTAGATTTTGGGATGAATTAATGTTAATTAAATTGTTTTAATGGCATTTAGTAATTGAACTGGAATATACAGGTCACAATTCTATGGAATACAATTATTGCTTAATACTGAGCGACGTTTCCACTAGGCTTCTCTAGTCATTATCAAGCAATGTCAATCCGATACAAAATTTTATTACATCCCGTGAATGCTTTATAGATGAACGTGGTGTGAAGCAAGCTGATACGATCATGTTAGGATATCCCCAGATGTGGCCAGTAGATAAAGAAGTTAGACGAAATGATCTGATTCATTATGAAAAGGTGACCAATCCAATGGGACCAGCTATGACGTGGGGTATGTTCTCTATCGGTTGGTTAGAGTTAGGCGATGAACATAAAGCCCATGAATTGTTCCATAGAAGTTATTCACCTTATGTACGAGAACCGTTCAAAGTAAGTGAACTTTATTCTTGATTTTGAAGTCGGAGCAGAACAGTAAGACGTTAAACCCCATTTCATTCCATTTTCTTGATTCTGATCAAATAATCTGACAGTTATTTACATCGAGAAATAATAAATTGATCCAGTTTTCACCGTTTAGTTGATTCGCCAAGAACAAGAAGAACATGAGTAGCGGTTGGGTACCAGTCCATCGTCCAAAAATAGTCAGTTTTAAAATGTACTTTAACAAATCTAGATTTTGTAATTTTGAATTTTAACGTGGTATAATTAGTTCTTGTATCATAATTACAATATTAATGACCAGATTAAATATGTTCTTTCTTAGATTTGGACAGAAGCTCGTTCTGGAATTGGTGCTGTTAACTTTATAACCGGAATGGGAGGATTCCTTCAAGCAGTGTATTTTGGCTATGGTGGTGCCAGGATTTATACAGAACACATGGAATTCAACCCAAGGCTTCCGCCAGGAAATACAGCGCTCAAGTTTTTAGGAATGAATTATCTGAAAAATTCTCTAGACATAGAAATTTACGAGAAAAAAATGCTTATAATTTTAAGAAAAACTGCTGTCGAAAACCAGCTATTTGTCCAAATTCACAGCAGTGGTGCTGAAATTATCCTTACTGAAGGTATGGTGTGCTCATTGAATCTCATATAGTATTCTATTCTGATAATACTCCCTAAATGAAATATGCAACATGCTACACCAAATAAGTACAATTTTGATATCGTATTGAAATAATACCTTCAATAAGCTGAAAGGGATTCAGTTCAACTAAGGCCGCCTGAAAGTCAAATGGACCATTTGCTTCTAATTTCTACACTAGTGGTGGCAGAGATAATAATTGTCCTGCAAAATACGTTGTTAATAGAAAGTAATCATTTCACTAAAACAAACCTATTACTACGATCCTATTAATTAACCTTAGACCTTTCTTTGAATTTGAATTTAACTAGAATTTTTTAACTAAATGTTTTCTAGAATTATATAAGTTTTAATCCAAATGAGTGAGTGCGATGCACCCCTACACACTCTTAATTAACCAGATGTATTATTTTATGATTGAATTTTTTCAGGTAAAGAGGTGGTCTTAGTACGACAAGCAATCTCATTAAGATCTAGATCTTTAAGTGACTGTTTATTACCTAAAGATGAAATTCTAAAAGGTAATAAAATGAACCAATAGTTGCAGCGGTTAAGCAAAACAATCTCATAAAAACAAAACTTTATTTGATACCTTGATCTTCCAAATTGAATGATTATGTCTTGTGTTGTTTGTTTTAAAAAAAAGTATCTTTATTCCGGATATCTGAATGGAATGGAACAGGCTTAGCTAACTTAAAATCTTTCATTTAGTAAATAACTACACCAATCTTTTTGTCCTTCCAATTATTTTAGACGAAAATTGTCCTAGAATTATGTCGAAGTCAACATGGGGAGGAGAACCAGCATGTAACACCGAAAAAACAGAAGATATGGTTAATAATATAATAATCAAACATACTGGTTCTAATTCGTGTAGTGATTTTACAACTTGTTCTTATATCGTTAAAGATATACAAGTAGGTTCTGCTTTTCATATTTTCTTTAATTAATTAATACTTTCACCTGGTATCTGAATTTCTCGGGTGCCATTAGTAGCGTGAGCTGTAAAGAACTTTTAAGATTTTTCAAGCTCGGTTCTCACTTGTCAGGGATGGCACCTGTGAGGCTAACATAAACAGGATGATACAATAAAAGCGGTCCAACTGTGTACATATAACAGTTTTATTACATTACTAGAAGAATGCCCGGCTTCGCTCAGGGGTCATAACCCCTAAACCGGAAGTGGTAGACTAACGCCACCTGGCCTGTGTTACTCCCCGGTCCGAGCTACTCCTATACCCCAAATTTCAGACTCGGGGCAGACCTAGTGTAGCCGCCAACCCCGAACAGACAGACAAACAGACAGACAAACTTCAAAAATATTAGTATAGATAGCGAGGTGATAAATCAGATTTTAAAGCCTAGATATTCCTACACAGTATTTCAGATTTTTTTAACTTAGAATAGGTTAGCTGAAGGATATCCTAAAAATTGTTAATTTGTTTTATACTTGATTAACATGCATAACATATTTGATTAAAATGGAAAGATGTAGATATTTTTTATTTTTATTTTATATAGGCTAGGGAGATGAAGAATGGCAGTAGTGATATATCATATAATTTCTTACTGGGAGATGATAAAAGAATATATGATGGTAGAGGTTGGGGTGTTATACCTGGTCTAGGAGGAGAACGATCACCAAGAACTTTAGGTAAAGCAATTTATTTGTAAAAATAAATTGTCCAGGCTGCATTTATTTTGGCCATTTATTTTAAATTTCAATACATTTTTTAAACTTCGACCCAAAACAGGTGCCTTGATTTATTATGTTCTTCTAGTCATATTATAAATGGCAGTTTAATTACTTACTTCTATGCCTTTAAAATCTTAATATACGCCAATGTTATATTATTTAACTAAAGGTATAATAATAATAGGTGACTATGGTTATTTACTCAGCTATTGGTATAATAGGTGACTATAGTTGTAAACCTATGTTATTTATTCAGCTATTGGTATAATAGATGACTAAAGTTGTAAACTTATATTATTTACTTAGCTATTGGTATAATAGGTGACTATAGTTGTAAACCTATAAGCTGGAACACTCTCTATAAAGTAAAACGTCTAATCAGATGTGGTATTGAAACGTAAGTTATTCTTTTTCCATTTATGAAATATATGGATGATATTGTAAATGTTATTCAAAATACAAAATGCTGCTCAAATTAAAGCTGTTAACTTTGAAGGGAATGGAAGATTACTGACCCTGGGGCTATACTATATACCGGAAAACACCGGAAAACAACCGGTTGTTTTCCGGTGTTTTCCGGTATATAGTATTGTCGCTGACCCTGTAGTCATAAGTTTGCATGGTCTTCGTTGACGCAGTTATGGTCGGTTTATTTGAAAATGGTTTCGGAAACCTCTTAATAGCACATACAAGTTTCATTATAAAAAACTTTTACTTAGAAGATTTGTGCCAGAGTTCAAAATGTATCTACAGGATAAAGGTGGTTTAAGTATGCAATTCAAACGCTATAATGTGAAGAAATAACTGGGTTACCTTGTCTGGATGTTCAACTTGGAAATAGTCGCTAGATTAAGGAATCAAGGAATTCCATTGTCTGATTTTATGAATGACTTGATAATCGAGAAGATAACTATCACCAAGGTCGGATCTAGATGTTAAGGCCACCTTCAGATTTCATCAAGATCACGAGATGTAAAGAGGATCAGGGCACGTGATTGCTGCCGAGGGTTGTGGATTAGGGATAAGGTAAATGTTAGGATTAACACTAGTCCTGTTTGCATCTTGTGACCTTGACGAAATCTGCAGGTGATCCTAATATTGAGATCTAACCGCAAGCAAGGTTACCCGGGCACTTGTCGAGAAGAATTTGGAGAATTAGCGTCATATCTCTATGGAAACTGAAAATGCATGAAAGTTGATCGTTGTACGCAAAAGTCGAAATAAATCGTCATTATGGTCATTCCACCAATGAGCTCTTCGTTTTGTTGTTTTTAACCGGGATAGAAGGTTGGTCGACGTATGCACAAAAGTTGATTGTTGTACTAAAAGTCGAATTAAATCGCATTTCACCCATGGCCCCCCCCCCCCCGCGTTTTGTCGTTCTTATCCAGGATAGAAGGGGATTTCGCGAACTTAAGTTAGTGTTGTGTTCTAGCGGACCAGTAGTGAATATTTTAACGAAAAAAATAATGTTGTACGCGGAAGTCGAATTAACGCATCTCTCAGGGGCGGGGTAAAGGGGGTGTTCTTAAGGGAGGAAGGAAGGGTCGGGGGTCTTCTTAAGCAGTGTTTTTGGCGACATCTAAAGCTGGTCGACTTATGCAAGAAAGTTGCTTATTGTGCGCAAACGTTGAATTAATTTCGACGTTTTGTCGCAACGCCCCTCCCCTCCCCCATGGGAAGGGGACGCGTAAATTACGAATCAAGGTTCAGAGTATCGAGCACCGCATAGAATAGTGGAAATTTTGTACGAGATTTTCGAAACAACCTGAACCTAGCTCCCTTACTACACAGAATTAGCTTTTTTTATTCTCTGAAAATTTGTGGGTCGACTCTTTTAATTTCGTTGACGTTTGTTATAAGAATGTCTGATTTGTGTTTGTTTTGTTTAATTAGCAAAAAGATAAGTGCAGGATATATAATTAGTGTGGAGAAAAACACGCCACCGTTGTACAACCAGATAATGGAATGGAAAAATCAGGTAATTCTCTTGCTTGATTTTGTATATAATATCAGGAATTTAATTCATTAATGCATGTTAAAGGCACTGGTCAACACTACAGGTCAGTAAAGTCAGAACAGTAATAATTTGTGGCATATTCTTGGTGTGATATCTGATCTTTCAAAAAAACAAAAAAACAACAACAATTGACCAATGATTATTTTTGAGTACAAAAGTGGTCAGTGAATCTGGATATACAATTGATCTTCATAAAACAGTAAGCTTTGACATAATTTTTCGACGTTGATGTTGGCTTTTATCCATTTTGTCTTTTAGTCTTTAATTGAATATTCTCAAGCATGTGATGAAACGATGCCTGATCTTCAAGGAGATATTAAAGATACCAGTTCGACAGAAACCGTTTTTAAATCCAACAGGTAATTTCCATACCGTGTAGCCCAACTACGGCTGATTTTTACATTCCATTGCAATGTTACCCACTTTTTTTTCAAATCTGATGATAGGAATCAATTGTGTTTAGTCTATATCAGTATATATCAACCAATAAAACGTTAAATTATTATATCGTTAAACCAACTACACTTACTTTTAGTTTGGCTTCTTTCCATAATTCTTCACAAAACAGACAATGTGATTAGTCAGCATATTCACGTGGTCTGGACTGCCGCTTTAAAGAAAATTTGTCGGATGTCAATGAAGAACAACGTCTGAAAACAAATGAAGTATAAAATGACACCAGATTGGAAAACTCCATGGGGTGTATTCTGAAAATTACCATCTCTTAGTCTCAGAATGGACGAAATGTCGGGTTTACGTCTACAAGTGATTTATATTTTTGTAGTTTACCAATGAAAGATGGGGAGATAGATTATCGTTATATGGCATCAGTTGGTAATGGACACATAGCTACTGTAGCTTTAAGTCCTACAGTGTACATGAATGGACTTTACAACGGAGAAATGGGTAGGATTTTTGAAAATTTTGCCATCTTAAAAATTATATATATATATAAGATTTATTTCTAAAAGACAGCAGGAATTTCAACATGACAACTTTTAGAATTTGTATTTAAAATCATATTATCTCGGAAGTAGATCAACGAAATACTCCATCCATTATCCCAAACTGAACCACAGTAAAGTTTAGTCAATTGTTATTATCACTTGAAGTTTCGACAACCGGGGGCTTCTATAATTAAGGAAGGGGTATGCTAATGAACATTCGCTGTTATGTCAGATTTGATGATGTGTAAGACTATACGTCCATAACATTCTTCCCCCAAACTAGAGATGCGTAGACGTAATTGGGACATAGTGTGCTAAAATGTACCATTCTGTTTTGTGTCAATGTTAGGAGTTATTATGAAAAAGACAACGCGGGGGAGTTTTGGCAACAGTCTACATAGTCAAATCAGGCCAAAAATAGTCAACACGATTGGTCTACTATCACGCCCTTCGGAACCAAATTCATAGGGTGGCGGGTTGGCGAGGGGCTGCTGTCAGTGTAGCGAAGCCAAAATGGGGTCACGGAGACCATCCCCACCCCTCTTCCGAAGGTGCCAGATATAATTATTATGCATACTTTCTCACGTGGATTTACACAGTGAATTAAATCACAAATTTGGTTTCCAGGTTATACACATCGAGCAAGAATACCATCTTTAGTTTCGTACCATATAAAAGTGAACGATGAAGACATCACCAGATCCTATTCTCTTGATGTTCAAAAAGGTGAGGGAATATGACTTAGGTAATTTCATGCCTGTAGCCTATAGTTTTCTACGATTAGCCATATTGATATGGGGGTAGATTAATTTTTACCGCGGTAAATCGTTGTTTATGAATCCTATAATTAATTTGTAATGTCTATTATGGGTCTACCCAAAACTAATTACCGACAGTCTCTAGTATATGTACACCATAACCAACTCTAAAACCTTTTCGACTTAAACTAAATCATGAATGATAATGTTCAAAACCACATCTCTGATTTTTCACAAATTTATCGTCCATTGCTTCGAGGCCCGCCCTTTACTAAGGACCCAAAACTTTATTCCTTTGTAGAATGCCCCGAATATCAAGTGCTGCAGTTGCTTAAAACCCATCAATTCAATATAGGCTTATAACAGATACTTTTCATTGAATTCTTATAAGGTTTGAATTGTAATATTTCAGCTGTATTTGTTGAAATGATTGACACACCAACACTGACTATAGAGTATCGTGTCTATGCACATCAATATTATGTACGCCTCCTGGTGGCAGAAATTATCGTGACCAGAAAACTGCAACAGGCCGAAGAAGCCACAGTTTTTCTAACAAGCAGAGTTACTGGTTTTGAAAGCGAAGACATTGAGTTTAATGAATCAATACCAATAACAGAAAAACATGTGTAAGTGACACCCAACACATACATTTAACGGTAGACTAAATATTTTGGCTGTTTTACATTTGTACTTTTCCGAAAATATATTTCTCACGGCTTAATCCACGCTAATATGTACTCAGATTGGTTATTTAACATTTGATTAAGAACACAAAATCAAAATACCAACATTAGATAGTCTCCCGGCTTGGATCCAGTCGAATTTAAAATAGACCCATCAATATAGTTCATGGCAAATAAAGATGGCGATCACATGGAGCAGCATAAATCGATGGAATTTTTAATTCGTCACATCTTTGTAAATACAGAAAAGGAATTGAACCATTTTGAGTCTGACATTCCAATTAGAGATCTAGTTTTCAAAATATTTTAGTTAGCATGGGATTTTATAGAGTCTTTAAGAAAATGATCTCAGATCGAGTTTGAAGTGGTTCATATATATTGGTGGAATATGTACGCCATAGTATATATAAATGTTTATCAATTGGTTAAAAGCCTTCGACCAAGCAACATCATTATACACAATGTTCAGTGGACGAATGTGGCTAAATAGAGCACTGTCTCACATATAATTTCAGATGTGGTAATTGGAATTGCAAACGGAGATATGGGAGAACCAAGATTTCAGAATCCGGTAAAGTTGACCGGAAAGATGTGTATGTTTTATGGAACGAACTGCCAACAATCTTGACCTTGACTGCTAACAAGATGTCAGATAGATGGATATCTCTGGTGGCTATTGATCCTGCCAAGGAACGATGCGAGCTTGATTTCTCAGCAGGACAGCGTGATGTTGTAGCTGATACTAATCTAGTTTATCTAAGACACCTTGATGCCTGGAGTAAAAAATGGGACAATGGAAGAATTGAAATCAAAGACAATTTACAATTTTCTAAACTGGTTTATGGTAGTTTATACTATATCTTAATCTCGTTGCCATCAGATTCGACATATTTACCAACTAACCAGTTCTTTGGACTTAGTCCTGGCGGTCTTGCTAATGGTGCCAATTTCACAGACTACCAGGGTCATGTTTTTTGGGATATGGAAACTTGGATGTACCCTGGAATTCTCATGCTCCATCCCGAGTTAGCCAAGGCAATGTTATCATATCGGTTATTCAGTATGCCTGCTGCCCGGGAGAGAGCTGTAGCAGGGGGTTATGACGGAATACGATATCCCTGGGAAGGGGGTTCTACTGGGGCAGAGGTGACTCCCGATATTTGCATACCTTGTCGAGAAAACCAACAGCATATCACGGGAGATATAGCATTCGCTGCAAGACAATATGTCTCTGCTACTAGAGATCTCCAGTGGCTACAAACTGAAATGGGATATGAATTTATTCGAGAAATGGCAGCGTTTTGGGTATCAAGAGCTGAAGAAGATTGGAATAATGATACAATGATGTATAATATCAATGGTAAGGAAATAATATAGGTATTTAAATGTTATTGATAGTTAAATTTATATTGAATAGTAATTGGAATGGGGTTTAACTCCTACCTTTCTGCACAAACCGGGATAAAGAAGGCGAACATACGCCATACATTGTACTATTAGGGAAGTTTGAACAGGACAGTGATTGAATTTCGGGGGTTCTTTTACGTACACGCCAATATGACACGAGACCTCGGGTGTTCGTACGATCCGAACAACTAGGCGATTTTCCTTGCCAGGCCTGCATCACTGACAAGGGGAAACCACAATGAAAAACCCGAGTGAATTGAACCTAGGACTTCTTGGTTAGTTGGTCAGCGCCTTACACACTGAGCCACCGGGGCTATCTTATAATAATGGTTCAAACAAACCCTTCAACAAGAGGTACGTCTAGATTAATATATGACTTAAAAATAATAACCAATGGTGAATGATGGATTACTGATTTAGAAATGGATGTAAATTGAATAGGGTATCTAACACCAGTTCATAATCCTAGGTTCTCGAAGAATAAGATTTTCCAAACTATTTTTTTATACTTAGAATTTTTTTGGTAATCTCAAGGTGTTATGCCACCAGATGAATACCAGATCAGCATCAACAATTCAGTATACACCAATATTGGTGCCAAATTAAGTATCATGTTTGCTGAATATGCTGCCTGTTTAGCTGGTACTGCAGAAGATAACGCTATGATAGAAAAATGGCGCCATGTTGCTGAAAATATTTACGTACCCTTCAGTGAATTTAAGAGATATCATCCAGAATTTGAAGGTTTCGAAGATGTGACAGGTAATATTGTTTTTGTTTTTAAATACTTATTTAAGATGGGAATGTTCAAATTACAACCACATACAAACATTAAAAAAATGCAAAATCAACCCAAATCAGAGATGGGGTTAACATCCATCCGACACAATCTAGGTAATTTGTAGACTAACGTATTGTAAAATTATCTTACAATAAATCTCTTGCGCGAAGAGGTCCTTAGCAGTGACGCAATTCTAGACCTATCCACGTTAGACCAACCCAACTCCCCAATTAAGACAATTTGCCAGTTCAGTGTATGGCTTTAATAAGCCGTAAGACAAATTGTCCCCCTTGTAACTTATTCAACATGAAGTACTAATTTAATTTTAATAGGGGATAGAAAAATAATAAAGCAGGCTGACGCCATATTGACCGGTTTCCCGCAGATGTGGTCCATGCCAGAAGATGTTCGAAGGAATGATTTAGAATTATATGAAAAGATTACCGATCATGGTGGACCAGCTATGACGTGGGGAATGTTTTCTATTGGTTGGTTAGAACTTGGTGATAAGAACAAAGCGCGAGAGTTCTTCCATAAGAGTTACTCCCCTTATGTAAGGGAACCCTTTAAGGTAATACAACAAGCCTTTTTTTCATAACACAAATTATGTATGTACTAAATAACCATAAAATTAATGACAATTAAAAAATAATTTAGCATACCTTAGATATGTAAATTTTACTATGAAAGGAACCGAGTGGAACAGTGCGATTCCTACTAGAATCAATCAAATGAAATTTCTCTTCATTGAATCAAACGATACTTGACTCTTCGAACTGATATTTAATTTTGAGAAGTTTGGACGTCATTCTCTCACCAGTAAGCCACGTTTTAATCTGTTCGTTGCAATCCAACATGACCTCTTACGTAGCGTTGGCATTCGAAATGAACACCATGACGATAATAAATAAAAGAGCAGTTTTAAGAACAATATACCACCTAATTGAAGACGATTCAGTTTGGTTAGAGATAACAATATCATAGTTCGAATTATGCTTTGGTCGATCTAGAGTTTTTTTTAATTGATCTACTTATATGTTCTATTGGATTGTCAGTGGTTCGATATATTTGTTTTACTTGATCTAATTATATTCCCTATGATTTGATTGCCAATTGTTCGTTTTAGTGTTTTTTTTCTCGATATATCCGTGTTTCATTCGATTGATGTCAGTGGATAGCAGGCTTAAATCTTCTCGTTCTTGCATAGGTATGGACAGAGGCTCAGTCTGGAATTGGAGCGGTTAACTTTATTACTGGAATGGGTGGGTTCCTTCAGACTGTCCTGTTTGGTTATGGTGGAGTACGTCTGCGCGTAGAAAAGTTAGAATTCGATCCGGAAATAATTCCTGGTACATCTGGAATGCGATTAGTTGGATTGGATTATCTTGGTAACTCACTGAATATTGACGTATATGAAGAAGTTATTAAAATTGTAAAAACAAAAGCGTCAGAACATACTATCGACTTGGTGACATCTGATAGTAAAATCAAGTTTATTCTACATAGTGGTAAGATATTTTTATTGAACAACGTTTAATAAATACTTTCGTCAGCTGTCGTCAAATTACAAACCTGTAGATAAACAGGAGTTTTAGCGTCAACTAATTAATACGATTTATGCAGGCGAACTTGCTTATTGTCACATAAAACAGTGATTTGAAAAAATGACATACATGTGATGTGTCTTATGGTCTACAGCGCCTGTGTAAAGCATAGCTCACAACCCGCCGCACGTGTTTTGGCACGCTCGGGTCGTAGGGTTTGGTAGCGCGCAGAAAAGCCGCAAGAAACCGAGTGAAAATTTTGTATGTGTAGGACCAAAAGTCTCTACGGCTAGTCTGCGATCTCCTGCGGTGCCGAATACACGCAAGTTCACTCAAATTTACCAAGTAGCCTGCTCGTAGTAGCACGTACGACGGGTTGTGAGTTGGGCTTGAGACTAATCGGTCTCTTAGACATCCAGCTACAGATCAAGGACAAGTTTCAGATGATGGAGTACATGAAGTTAATTGAGTATATTGAAATATTGAGTCCAATAGCTAAGGGCAATAGTTGGAGAATCTAGTTCGAATTCAAATGTACACAAATTGTCAAGCATAAAGTGTCAACGAAATTAAAGAAGTTTGAATTCAAAATCAAAGGGATAATTTGATGAACAAAAAAAGTCACCAAACAAGTTTAATTATCGGATTTACTTTCACTTCAATTGCAAGAGTAGATGGAATGTTGAAATGGCGGGCGTGTAAGAACTTTGATGTTGGAATCTTGGTTATTTTTCTGCCCTTTAGAGTGATGGGTTGTTTTATCTATTTTCAGACATAGAATATAAGATTAAACGTCAAGCATTTACTATTCAGGCTCTAACTGTTACAGAATGTCCACTCCCAGAAGGTCGTAAACTATATATTTTCTTTCGTTCTATTTTCTTTTCCAAATTGTGTATATATAATTTGTAACGCGGATCAATAGATTTACTCGTGTTCAATGTATTAATTAAACATCTTACACAGTCCATAATTGTTAATAAACTGTGTTGGTATTTTGTATTTAGGAAATTCGTGTCCTAATGTTATACCTAGATCTTCATGGTTGACTAGTAAAATGGAAGTTATTAGACAATCTATGGAGTCAGTAACGGAAGTGGTCATAGATCAGACCAATGATGTTTCATGTACAAATTATAAGAACTGTATACAGCAACTACAAATAATGAAGGTTAGATATATTATTTTTTATCACCCAATAATACATTCTACAGGAGATATCGCTTTACATGAATTTGATTGGTCAATCAAATAGGAACTACTTTTTTTTATTTTCAAAGAACAGTTCATTGTTTATTAAAAGTAACTTCTTTCTTATTAAAAAGGAACTATTTTTATTTAATTGGCCTTGATGGAAACACTGGATCAATGAAAAGGAATTTGCAATGGTTGAATTGCTGTCAAAAATGATGTATCACCACGTAATGTAATCAAGTTCAGTAAAAATGAAATGAAATGAAATGGGGTTTAACGTCCTACTGTTCTGCTCCTAACCTGGGCTAATGAAGACGGGAAGTTCAGTAAAAGTGAAATCTATCATTTTTCATTATCTTTATTGAACTATTATAGCAAGAACAATCAATTCTTTATCTAAATCTTACATATATGTATTTTTAAGCTCAAATTTGCACATCAATCAGAGATATGAATGCAATATCCCCACCTACGATTTCTGCATTACTTTTTTTACCTATCGAGTTTGAAATGACTGATATTTATAATTCTAGAAAACCTCGCAACTAAAGGGAGAAATTGATATTTCGTATAATTTCCTGGTGGATATGTCTGGAAACGTATATGAAGGAACTGGATGGGAATACACCACAAGTAAAATGACGTCACGATTGGGTATGTAATTGATATCAGACAAAATAAACAAAGCAGAAATAATATTACATCGTTCATGATGATCAGTTGGAGAAACCGTTTGTATTAAATTAATTTAAATAACTTCTTTTGGTGAACCTAAACGTTCCCCATTAAATGTACAAAGTTACTGTCATTGCATCTTTATGTTCACGCGCCTAGAGTTTCATTCACTTAAACCATGTGAATTTTAGAGTTTGTTTTTTTATTTTTAATTTTGTACTTTTTTCTTAGTTATTGGTGTATTAATTTTGTACTTTTTTCTTAGTTATTGGTGTATTAGGTGACTACACATGCACAGATGTCAAATTAAGATCTGTTGCAGCTATTAAAAACCTGATTAAATGTGGCGTAGAAATGTAAGTACTCGTTAGTCACCAGCAATCATCTGAAATTCATACAACTAGACTGACCCCGATAGAATATCCCGGGTTCGATAGCTGGCATGAGCCAACCGGGATAATGAAAATGGAGGGCCAAGCAAAGCCCAGCTTAAACGGAGCGGGGCCCCTCCGCTACGTAAAGATTATTTTATATCCTCCCTTCGAATGGCATACATGGCCATTTGAATGACACATGCATAACACACAATTATTAAACGGTCTGCAATACCAGAAGAAATTACATATCTGATCAAGTAGGAAATCTTTTCAGTTTATAATTGCATATAGGCGCAGAAATGACATATAATGGCGAGGAAATGACATATAATGACGCGGAAGTGTTATAACAAGTTATATCACCCGATTGCTGAGCTGTTACAGCGTTCAGAGATTTGTATCTTGGTTTACGACTACTGGTTTACGACTATCAGCCATGTCTGCCGTATATTGTAGTGTACGTGACTGGTGAGGGCCTATTAAAAGCTGTCCATAATTAGCATACGTGTCTTCGTCAATGGCTGGTGATAGTGGAATGTTACTACTAATAAATGGAAAGTTGATAATTGGAAAGTCAGTCATCACGTTTATCGTACAATTTAACGCTCAGTTTATATGGCAATTGTCAAAATCTAGAAGCAGGTCAAAGTGGGAAGCGTAATGGTCACTGTCAGTATACCCACAACTTGCTGATATATTTCCCTTCTAAATTCAACAACGTAGAATTCCAATATCTGAATTATCTTGTTGACGGTGTATTTGTTTTTGGAATTACTATGGTTCTTAGAAAAATATGCGGAATTGTAATTAACAACTATATATTTATATCTATTATCTTACCGCACATCGCAAAAATAACCAAAGGAATTTTAAAAAAATTACAATGGTTGTCTCAAATTGACGGAAGTATATTGTGTTAACGAGACATTAAATCCAACTCCACATACATTAACACGACTCATGTGAACACCGAACAATATTGATGGATACATAAAAAAGTAACAGATGTCGTGTACGAGACAGGGAGTGCTTCCTGTTTCTAGATCTCGATCTCATAATTTGAGGAATTCATGTGCTTAATATAACTAACAATTGGATAACATGTGCAGAAAACGTAGAATATTCAACGAATGGGCAAAATGTTTTCAAAATCTTTCGTTTGCATTTTGTTTTCTTTCAAATTTTCTCGCAGGGCGAAGATATCAAAAAGCTATGCATTAGTGAGTGGAAGACAGACTAGAAAACCTGATTGTTTAACAACAACTTGTATGGGAGATAGTCTTCTTTGTACCATCATGAAGTGGAAATACTGGGTAATTAATAAATTGTATATAATCAAGATCTAAATAATCTCGGATAATATTAAATATGTTGTGGGATTACACAGATCACTTACACATAACGTTCAAGCAAAATAATATGCCAAAGCTTCATTCGCTTGTTTGCCCTTTATGCCGCACATACATTTACATATGTGATCAGTTTTACGTAATACTGCATACTGACAGAGAGCAGTGTTTAAAACAATGATTCTCATGCCGTATACACACATGTACAATCAACACACCATTTTAATTGACAATTAGGTAAAACTCGCCGCCTTGATCAGTTAAATCTGTTTTGAAATGTTACGAATGCCATTAATAATAGTCAATAGGAATAGGAATCGAAATTCTATACTTACCAATCTTATATTTCAGAATAATACGCAGTATCATGGGACATTCGTTAAACCCAATTGTAATGGACCATGTGTCTACCCGGCTAAAGCCGAATTGAACAAAAACTCTATTTACCACGACATAAGTACAGAGCCTACAGTATTCCAGACTAATAAGTGAGTTTTGTTTTGTTTTTTTTATAAACCTCTCTATATCCATATTCCTGAAGCAATGGTCCGAGAAATCCCTCTCTGGCCATTGCTGGATTAGCTTCTGATACTTGCGCTTTTGAGGGAGTGTGTCTATTCTTCCCGTTCAATCAAATCTATCCAAAAGCACAGCAAAATGACAGCCCTTAGGGGTCTTCCCTAAAACTTTGGACAGCGATTTAAGGTATTAAAAACGGTGAAAGTGTTGTTCGTCTCAAAACAATATTGTTTACATTATATCCACAGAGCAAAAATCGTGTTGACAGTTGATAGCCTTGTTTGTCACACAATTAGTTTCTCTGCAATATTCTGCTGTGCACTGGTTAATTGGGCATAATAAAATCGTGTGTCATGACGTAACGTTATGTGAAAATATTTGGTCCAATTTGGAGCTATGTTTAGTATTGTTACGCAGTAAGCGATTGGTTGTTAATCGGACTATTGAGCAGTCATAATTTAGAACAAGAATTTGCTTTGTTTACAGCAGTGAGTAGTGGGATTAGCTCTAATCAAACGAAACAATGCGAGGAGTATGATCTATATCTTACCACATACGCAACACTCACATTACATTATCAATCATAATAAAGGTTGAAATACCAGTATGAAATTGGTTCAAATGTGTTCATGTTCCATGTTAATTTATGGTTGGTTTTATATACTTCGTGATTCGTTTTACTGAATGGGGGGTTTGATGGCCGAATGGTTAGCGCGTTCGCGCTGTATCACAAGGCCTGTCATTGAGTCAACTGGCGTGGTTTCGATTCCCCGGTTGTACGTGACAAGGAGTAGCATCGCCTGTCCAGCCACGCGGGTTTGTCCCGTTTCCCCCCACTGTTATACATCGTGGCTCTACAAATAACGACGGATCGACTGACATACGTAACGATAATATATTTGAGTATATAATCAAATACTAATAACGTATTCATTGTATTTGCATATTTATTCTAATTTGTGTATAATATATAAATCAATAGTATAGTTAGTATACATAAATATATAAACATAGAATATCATGTATATTTTGAGAAGAAAATAAAATATGTTTAAATTGAATGAAAGCTTATGTCGCTACGACTGAATTTATCCAGGACTGGACGCAATCATGAGAAACCAGTTGATCACAGTCGTAAGCGCTCTTATGTCGCCCGGAGTCAGTTGAAGAATCGGAGCCACAACTGACCACATGACTGACACGTGATGACCTTCAAAATGGCCTCATTCCATGGTTGTTACCGCCCCCTGGGTACCACGTGACTAAATAACTGAATCCTGTTGGCTACGTGCCAGTCGTAGGTGCGCTTATGTCGCTTGCGACTAGATACAACTAGTTGTCTCCAGTCGTAGGAGTAGAACATGTGCGACTCGGAGAAACTGGAGACAACTGGACGGCGACTGGTTTGCGTCCGACTCACACCAGTCGTAAGAGCGCTTAGGTCGCCCAACTAGTCACGACTGATCAGTTCCACTTGATCGTAGACAAGTCGCCGATTTCCAGTCGCCGTCAGTTTTATCGCGTCGTAGGGCGACATAAAGTCGAATGAATTGAAAGAAAATTTTAGATTATAAGATGCAGTCATTGTTGCAAAATTTGATTTATAAGATGATATGTTTTCCAAATTTGAATGAAATGGATATTTATATCAGCGATCCATAAACAGGGCTGTTTTTAACAGATGATAGAATAGAAACCATTAAAATATGAATACATCAAACTAATGTTAAAGGTATTTTGAAGAGATAACATGACAAAGGGTCAAAATGACTATTTTGATTTAAAACAGTTCAGTGAAGAAAAGACTAAAGGGGATTAGATGATTAAAGTTTAAGAAATGAATTTAAATCTGCCTATTGCAGGTATCTCTTTGTTATATCAACTATTTTTTAGACACTTATTAACACAAGTCCATAATTAACCCTCTAGATCATCGAATGGCAGAGATTTAAATGAATTAGAACGCCCGTGAAATTTTAAAAAAATTAACGATAAAATGGATAATCGAAACTTAGTCTCCCTTTTCCAGTACCGTTGCTACGATAATAAACAATTAAACACTCATAATTTCGCTCAGAATAAAGTAATTGGAATGAAATTTTCAAAATATTCATTTTAAATTATCCATTTTGAATTATTATATCTTACATAAGGCATCTTTAATATTTTGACTTCGATGTTAAAGGACACAAATCAACTATATCTAAACGATTGCAGAGGCATACATAAAGATGGCGTCAGAAATTTAAGGTAAACATAAAATGGTAAACAAGATTCGTCAGGTTTAAATTATAAGAATATGGTAAGGCGTGAAACAAACCCCAATAGAATAGGATTAACAAGGCCCAATATGTTTGGTAAGGGTATTTTTATTTGAAGACCTTCGACGGACGATTAAAAAGGATTTATTAGGTTGCAAAAGTTGAGATACACGTGTTAATCCATTGATGAGATATAGGTGATTTAAGCTTACTTACTGGTTCTACAAAGTAGTCTCAAGTCAAAATACGTTTTTCTAATTAATATTATTCAAATAGAGATGCATGGTAGTATATCAAATACATGTATGTTCAAGTTTAACATGTCGATAGATCTGTCTCTATTCACATAGTTTGACTTGAACATAATCAGTATATTGTAATGTTTTAACGTTTAAAGAATGTATAATTTGTCGGAAATTAGATATTAATGTGGAATTAACGCTCAAATAAAATGACAAACTTAATCTCTTATTTAATAAATAAATAGATCTATCTCTATTCATATTATATATGAACATATAATATATCTTATATTATAAGTTTCTTCCCAGCTTTCTGCTTTGCAAAACTGTTGATAACAGCCTGGAACTGCGACCTCTGCGATTTTCCGTTCGTACTGACAGCAACGATACGCACAGAAATGCATAGAAGAAAGTGGTCGCGAGGCGTCTCGGGTCAGCTGTTGAACAAAAATTCGGCGGCGTTCGCAGTCAGTATAAACAACTTCATTGAAATAGGTGTTAAGCAATCGAATGTGGTCGCCGCGTTCGTGGTCTTGGTCGCCGTCTCATTGACTAGACGCTGTTCCTTGTCAGACTCCCCTCCTGGAAATGACTGGGATCGAACACATGACCTCAATGTTAGTGAGCAAGCGTCAGTGCCGCTCCCCTTGTGTCAAATATAATTGGGCTATGTATAACGACATTGATCAATTATGTGATGGCACAATGGCTCATGTATCTTAGACTGAAATTGAAATTAAGTTTTGTAAACTTTTACATAATTATAAAATCCCCGTCTCTCATTTCTGAGTGAGTACTTATATAGCCCTGTTTGAGTCTCGGGTACATACTATTAAGGGGTTGGCCCCCGACATCAACAAACTTTTGCACGCTACGGGTTAATGCTCGTGATTCGTTCTTGTTTGTGCTTCATGTTGAATTAATATTGAGGTAGTAATGAAAATCATTCGTAAATAAATAAAGACAGATCGACTGATAATTGTGACAATAATTCATTTGAGTATAGAATCAAATAATAAGAACATATACATTGCATTATAAAATATGTATTGCAATTTGTGTATAATAGATAAATCAATAATATAGTATACATAAATATAAATAAATTAAATGTGTATTTTGACAAGAAAAAAAAATTGTTTAAATTGAATAAGAAGCTAGGGTTTTCATATTTCACCAATGACATATTATATACTATTATTAAAGACATGTATTTAAAGTGTAAAAGAGGAATAGATTTAAGACAAATAATTAATTATAAGATGCAGTCATTGTTCCATTATTTGATGTATAATTACGATCAATAATATTACTTAGTTGTTCTTCAAATTTAAATAAAAGTAATATTATGTTTTATAGCAGCGATCCATAAACAAGTTTTCTTTATTAAACATATAATATAATATAATATAATATAAATTTGGAACAAATTATTAAAATAGCTACTATATGCAAACCTAATTTTTAAAGAGGAAACATGATAAACGACCCCAAAAAGATTTTTTTTTTATTTTGATTAAACACAATTAAGCGAAGAAGAGACTTTTGACGTTAAAGTGCAACATGACGAAAGACCAATACAACTTTTTATTTTATCATTGTGATTAAACACCATAAAGGGAGTAAGACACTCAAACAGATAGGAATTTAGATAAATAATAACAAATATTGTAAGTTCAATAATTATTTGACATCGATGTTAGAGAATACAAATCAAGAATATCCAAAGTTTACAGAAGGATTGAGATGACGACCTGAAATCAGCAGAAATTTAAACAAACTTAAAATGGCCTACAAGGTACGTTAGCATTAATTTAACAGATGTTATTCGGAAAATGTTTTGGAATTACTAAAAAAGTATAATCTATCGGAAATTAGACATTTAATTCAAAATCTAATTAAGGCGCGAATAAAACGGCAAACTTGATGTCTAATTGAATAA